TCATTGGGCCGTATTAATAAAGATGAGGCAAACCTTTTACTTGCGAAAATTCGAGCAAATCCTTCAATCTGTATTAATAAAAACTAAAGCAAAGCCTTTTGCTTTAGAAGTAAAAGGTAATCTATAGAAATTTGAGGTTTTGCTCATGACTTGAGCAAATGGTTATTAATAAAACTCACCATTTACTTTTTCTTTGAAGTAAATCCTTCAATCATGATGCATCTGGTCAGTAGCAGATTATACGTTGAAGTAAAAGGTGTGTGGTGGTGTTTAGTGCAACATGGCAGAGGTAGTGAACGTAAGAGAGGTTAAGTTTTACAAAGATCGAAAAAGCCCACAAACCAGAGACTTTAAAATGTTATTTCGCTTTGAAGAAAATAATGTACAGTGGTTATCAAACTACTTTTTAGGCCAGGTTGATGAATCCCGAGGAGGCGCTCTTTCATCTGAACAAAGAATGAAGGTATGTTTACGATATTTGGCAAATCCAGGATATCAAAGTGGAATCGGAGAGGAACTTGGGGTATCGCAAAGCATGGTATCGCTAACCGTGAGTGCCGTGGTCGATAAAATTGTTGAGAAGGCTGATTACTGGATAAGATTCCCCACTACTCTTGATGAAATAATCCAGGCTAAGGAATCATGGCAAAATAAATACCAATTCCCAACAGCAATTGGAGTGATTGATTGTACACATGTAGGAGTATTAAAACCAAGACTTCATGGGGATGAATACATCAACCGCAAAAACAAGCCTACAATTAATGTTCAAGCGACATGTGACAGCAAGGAGATGTTCACAAGTGTTGATGTCAGTTGGCCCGGTTCCGTACATGACGCCCGAATTTGGAAAAATTCTCCAGTTAGAGAGGTCATGCGTACAACACGTAACACTGTACTAATAGGGGATGACGGATACGGTTTAGAGCCTTGGTTGATGACACCGTTCTCAGTTCTAGATAACGAAAGTGAAAGCAAATTTAATAAGTTGTTAAAAAAAGAAAGGGTGGTCATAGAAAGGTGTTTTGGGCAGCTGAAGCGGCGATTTCCAATACTGCAGTATGTGTGTCGTGTCAAACTTGAAAAAGTACCAAAAATCATAGTTGCTTGTGTTGTGTTGCACAATATTGCAAAAAGTTTAGGCGACCCTGATTTTGAACACGACGAGGATATCCTTGAAGAGGATGAAGACTTGGGCGATATTGCGGCTGATGCAGAGATCAGGGGTAATCTGCGTCACGAAGGACAAGCAGTGAGAAGGAACTTGGCTGAAATAATAAGTCAATTGATTTAAGAAAGACAATTTTATTAAGTAACAAAACCCACACATCAAAACATATTTTAAATAATCTTAAACAAGTTTATAATTAAATGTTATTTTAAGCTAAATGTTAATTTCTAATCTGTACAAACAATAATACAACTTTCACTACAAAATAGCATAACATTTGTCACCTTCAACAGCAATATTTGTTTGTTTGTCACTTGTGTTTACATTAAATAGTTTGCTTTCCATCAATTGAATTTTTTTACTGTAATAATCTTGCTGCAGTTTTGCTGTTTTGAGTTGGTGGAGCAAAACTAACCGCTGCAACTCCTTAGTCGGTAGTTTTCTTGTTTCTTCCGTTTCGAATTGATCTATTGGAGATTTTCTGGGAATTGGCATATTTCTCTCGACTACCTTATCAATTTGAACATCTTCAAACATTTGAACATCACTAATAGTTGATGATGATGATGAGGTTCCCACTGTTCCTTCAGGAAATTTTGGCTTTTTTACTCCAATTTGCATAGATCAATCAATATATTTTTTTATTCATCATTCCCTCAGGATCAATTTTTGATATATCAATCAATCAATCAATCGTTGAGATGGGGACGCCACCTGGGTGCGTATTTTAACCCAAATATGAGTGAAGGATGAGTGTTGAATGGTGTGTGATGACCTGTGTAGCTTTGTTACTGACTAAGATCAGCGGTTTCATTAGTCAGGATCATTTATTTAAAGCCCAATGATCAGGAACAGCTGGGTCCATATACCATGCAATAAGGTTATTAGAATTGTATTAATATAATTTGTTTAAATATATTTTATCTTAAAATGAACAATATACCATTTATTCAACTTGGGTTAAATTAGAAAATTACTTAAAATAGAATCATAAAACAAAAGTATATATACGTCTAATGACACTTATAATAATATAATTACACTAATACTTTCGACTTACAAGACGGTAAATATATATAACAGTTGGTAAGTGGCGATCGATTTCGATTGGACACTCAATCATTTTCTTTTTCGATGGAGTGTCCAATCGAAATCGATCACCACTTACCAACTTTTATATGTATCTACCGTCTTGTAAGTCAACAGTATAAGTGTGAAATAATTACAAGTGTTATTAGACGTATACATTTTCGTTTTCAAGGTATTTTTTATCTTACATATTTCGGGCGATCTCGCCAACTGGTATAGTTTCATAATTATAAAAATAAAGGTTTGAATCTGAAGCATGGAAACGCTGAATTTGGATTACTAACAATAATTACTAGTTAAAAATGTAAAATGAACAGTGTGTTTGACTTTAGCGATAGGTAAATTTTAATAAACTTTCCGATTGTGACAAACTCTGTTCGATTTTGTGAGACTGTCGTGTTTACATACTAAAAATTACCTTCAATCCTGGTAATTACTGGATTGTTTTCACCTTCCATTGCTGCAAGTAATTGTTGTTCCCAAGCTACCAATTTGATTTTTTTGTTCCCCGTTTGATTTAAATCAGTTTTCTTTTTCAACCTCGTTTTCATGTTGTTCACCTTTTTTAGTAACATTTTTGCGTCTATATCTTTTCCAAATATGCCTTTGTACTTTTGCAGCACTTGGGATATTGCTAAGTCTTTCTTTCTCTTCATACTAGGAACCTGTGATTTTGCCAGAATTGACGGGTGGGCACGAACTTCATCGGCGATAAACTTTAGTTCATTTGTACCGGTACAATCATTACTATTTTCATTTTCACTTTCACTTGAATACATTTTAGGCTTCCACTTAATCGTTGCACAAACTTAAAACCGGATACAAAACCACCACACAGCGTTGGCACCGCTAAGACTTCAAGGGATATCAGTAGACAAAAATAGACAGGTTTAGAAATATATTTAACCTGACTAATAAGCTAAACAATGTAAACAGCTGATTAACACGTTTTAACATGTGTTGTTCCTAAAGGACCATTTACTTCCAAGCACAAGGATTTGCTCACAAGGAAAAGGTAATCATTATTAATACGGTTTGAAGGATATGCTTTTACTTCTACCTTTTACTAGAAGCAAATGCTTATACTCCATACCTTTTCCTTTTGAGCATATCCTTCTTTTTATTAATACGGCTCATTATCTGACAAGTTTTATGTAATTTGTTTATGTTGTAGTAATGTAAAATGTGACAATGTTTGATTAAAACACAAGTACCAGGGGACTGATCTTGCTCGAGGTGTTTGATTTGTTCAAGAGGTAAAAAATAGAGCTTATAAGCCTACAAATATTTTCAGTCTTACTACGATTAATTAAGTAGTAAAGTCAATTCGTTTTTGTTAGACATCCACTTATCCTCAATTTAGTCTACAAAACTTTTTAATTTGGACGATCAATCTATAAAATGTCCACAATAAGCTTCAATCAATATAAAACTCATGATACATAACATCTGTTATCTGACGACCGTTATTGCATTAAGTCATTGGGATCGTGGAACGTTGCAAGTATAACTACGGGATGGTGTAATAACGCATCAATTCGTGCGGTGCATCGTCGAAAAATACAAATTTCCTTGGCCTTTCCTTTAGATTTTTAGTTCAATTTCAGTGTATATTGTTTTGCAGTAAAACACTTAATGTTTTTGAACAGTGGTAATTATCCCTTTGGTTAGTAAGACATCATACAATGCAAATGTATTATACAAGCAATTTTCAATAGCATTAAAATTGGAGGAAATCGTAGGAGCAATTTTTTAAATCATATCTTGCGCAATCTTTACTCATATTATAGTATATATTAGTAGCCAAGATGTGACATTAAAAAATATTTTAAATTAACTGCCCAACAAACAACTAATTTCTACAAAAACTAACTTTATTTTCTATCAGTTAGTTTTTCAACTAACTAATAACTTCTATCAGTTACTTTTTAAACTAACTAACTTATAACTTCTATCAGTTACTTTTTACGGGACTAACTTATAACTTGTAACTAGTTAGAATTTTTGACTAACTTTCCCAACTATGGGTGTGTCACATAAGCTCTTATGCTGACTCTACTCATCATTTTAACTGAACACTTTTTACTTTTACCCCCTAAACATAGTATAGAGAAAATACAGTTTTATTAACAATTTTCAAGTTAAGTTTTGGGTGGAAATTTTGATTTGTAGTTGTGATTTTTCTATAAACCCCATAAAATAATGGAAATCAATTTTTTTTACTGCTTAAACGATTTTGACTAAAATTGAGTATGTTATGGTTCTTTTAATTCTAAACAAAATGGTACAACCCTAAATGCTGTAAAAGTAAAAGTTCTGAAGCTATTGTAACTTTTGTGATTCTACTGCACGAAATACTATACTGTGCCTACTTCCACTGCTTGACCATGATAAGGGTTGTTGACAAGCTAATGAAAGAGTATGTGTCAGATTGCTGATACAGTTTATTAACCTTAGAAGTGCTATCTCCTTTCTGAATAGAATAAAGATTGTTGTTTAGTAGACCATGTCTACTACTGCTGATGGTGATGTTGTAGCAGCATCACCAGATTTTGTGTTATTATACAATTTCAAAAACATAAAAATATGTGCATTCTTGAGCTGTCCTAAATCTACTAGATTACCACTGAATCCTTAGCACTGTATAGCAAAAGAATTTTCCTGCCAATTTTGTTAAATCATTTTATCTAACAATAGCATGGAATAGGCTTTTAAATCAAACAAGTAGGTAACATTAAAAATGTGTTTTATTGCTGGGCAGAGTAGATATTTACAAATTAATGATAATTGTATTTAAAACAGACAGTAGAAAAGTATGAAATATATATTTTATATAGATAGCTTTAATTCTGTCTTTTGGACATATTTGATGGAATAAAAAATAAAAAATGGAATGTTAAATTATTTGTACAACCGATTGTTTTAGTTCTGGTGACTGAAGTGTTTTAATTACTAGTGCTATAAACTTAAAACTTATTTTCTTTAAACACCATAATACAAGAGGTAATTTATTTTATTGTTACGGTATTTGAATAATGAATAATATTCAATAATTTAAAACCTCTAAGTTATTTTTTTTATTTAGTCTATGATTTATATTTTTTGTGATTGAAATAGTGTTAAATCTCTCATAATCGGGAATCACACTATGAAAATTTTGAAGAATAAGAAATAAGTTTGAGTCATGTCAGAGTAAATGCAAGTAAGTTGATAAAAGACATTAAAACCACAACGTGGACAGTGACAATAATCTTACTCTAAGCACTTGAAAATAAATTCAATGCCTGATATATTTCACGATTCCCCTGGAACTAATATGTGAAAGAAATACAAATATATTTAACCCATTATATCAACACTAACAAGAAAACTTGTCATATACAAATGCATTTTGCTTACATTTCTTATTTAATGTGTGAAATATTATTGGTTTCCTGTTTTAGGGAATAACAAATAACAACTAGCCTATGAATAAATCATAGTTCTTTCATTTGTTCAACTCTTAACATTTTGCGTCTCATCAAGGTTTGTAGTATTTTATCTTTACAAAACCAGGAATGTTGAAAAGAGTATTTGTTCACAAAATAAAATTGACTAAAAATACAACATTTTTAATTCTTTTTCATCGATTATTTAACTAGATTTACAGTCAAAAAACAGAAACTATAAATAAGTACAAATGACTTGTGCAAATATCAAGGCATTATATAATACAAGGCGCAAATGTTTTATTATAAATATTGATGGATCGACCTTAGAAAGTATTGATGGACAAATGAAAAGCGACAAAGAAGTACAAATGGACGGATACATTGATAATTATAACATTAATTAATAAAAAATACTTTGAACACGCATCTTTTACAGCTACTGAACATTATCATGTTATAATAATAGATCTTGCATGAGATTCATATAAAAATATACTAATAGATCTCTAGACAGATCTGTAACAACTAATAAAATTTGTTATTTACATAAAACATTACTACATTGAAAATCACTATCTATATTAGTTGTAAATTTACCACCAAACATATACCTACGTTATGGTAAGTCTTGGATGTGTGACTGTGTGTGTGAAACGTAGGTGTAAAAGTAAGTATAATACTAAAAGGCACAAAATCTTGAAGTGGACGGACTAATTACATACTACAACTTAAGATTATCAAAAACAACATTATCTATGATATTATGAAACAACCAACATTTATATATAGGCGACAAAAATGGCCATTAAAAATGTCCCAAAGCTATTTTTGTTGACAATGTGCAATGTAAAACTAAATCTAAAATATTTGTAAGATAAAAATTGGTACAGTCACAAATAATACGGTCCCAACAAGCCAAGCTGCTTTGAAAGCTAAGATAAACAACTTGTTCATACTTTCAGTTGGTTAACATCTTATGTGGTATTCTTTAATTGTAAAATAATTGCACTTTGAATGCACTTAACTACTAAGGAATGTAATATTTTCTTATTTTACTCTTTACTTTAACACATAAACCGCATAAAAAAGTGTGGTTGATTGTCAGAAGGGATAGTTAAACTATTACGCATTAAGTCAGTATTTTTACTAATAAAAATTTGTTTTTATGGACTTCTACTAAACATATCCTGTCTTTAAGAACAAGTAAAATCTACTCCAATTTATAGGATAAGTCAAAGTAAATATTTTTGGAAGCGAAATATGTAACCCCTTAGTTAAACTACATTACGTATGTGATTTACTAAAACATCCCCCGCTTAGAATTGCAACACTCAACATTTGTGCTACTTCTTGTTTCTATACAAATTACTGTACTCACATAATGTTAAACAGTTTCTAGGAGGTAAGTTCATAGCTTATCTTACTTCACGCTTTTGTTTCCTGCTCCAATTCAAATCTAGTTTGAGATTCTTTCATATACTTGCGCTTCTTCTTCTGCACATTGGCTTCCACCATGAAGAGAGTTCCAGCGACCAAGGCCTCAATGGCACCGGCCACAGCCAGTGCAAAGGACCAGCCGAAAAAGTTGTTAGCGTGTCCCGGCATCCAGTTGTCTCGGTTTGCAAACAATACAAACACTATAACAGCAAGTCCGGCACACACACCTGCGAAAAGAGTTCATTATCAAAATCATCAACATGTTTTACAGTTAAAAATATTTTTACACAATATTGACTGCAGCAGTGGTTTGGTTTCAGAGGGGAGTGCGTGACTCTAGGTCACAATCTGTGACGACACAAAAAATACTGTTGGTGAAGGGGCTGCTATCTCCCCCCCCCCCCCCCACCCCTCATTGGCAGAATTCAAGTCTGGTGTCACTATATTACCATTTAAGATGAGTAAAAATCAGACAGGAAATACTGAAACCCAATTTAGAACGGGATGCGTGTGATGCCTTTTGTAGCGTTATCACCAGCCAAGACAAGTTGTTTTTTAAGCCCGGACCATTCATTCATCCAACAATCAAGTTGATCAGTTGGATACAGTTTCACGACAGTAAAAAGCTACAGGCTTTTCCAGGACCCAAACGACTCTCACCCAACTAATTGAGCAATTATATGCCTACCATAAAAAAACTAACACAAAGTCTGGCATCAATGTTAATAAGTACAAGTAAAATTGTAAAGAACCAATGCATTTTAACTAAGAAAAGAGTAATTTGGTGAAAGTGTGCTTTGAAACTCACCCACTCCAAGCATGATTCCACCGATGAGTGTAATGAGTTGAATGAATCGCTCTTGGTCAGGTCCGAAACACAGGAAGAACAACAGGACCAGCACAAAGCTGGCTAATACTCCCAGGAACGCCAGGGTGAAGAAGAACTGTGTCCAGATTATAAACCCTACAACATCATTTCATGGGTTGTTTTCAATCATAAGCAAGCTTCATTGTGCCCATCAATACTTCAGAGTGTTCGGTATTTTTACTATAATTCATAGGTTTAACATTTTTAAACATTGCCATTTAAAACATGACAATTACGCTGCTATGCTGGTTATTCGATACACCACAGAGAAGTAAGGTCAAAAGATAACATTCAATGGTACACTTAAGTGGTGTTTAGCACTAGTGTACATGAAAATGTGTTTATGACCTTGTATAGTTCAAAGTCTAAAACCGCCTATCTCACCATTGTGTACTACAACGCATACGGTGGAGGAAGGAGGCCCAATGATCTGTGTGATGGGAATGTCCTCACAGTGCTCGCTGTTCAGGCTCTTCCTTGCTTATCACAAGTATAATAACCTCAACCAAGCTGTCAAAAGGTGTATACTGTTTAAGAAGATTAAAAGGTTGTGTAACGCAAGATGTTATGATAACAGTGTATTATGCACAGATACATAGTTTATTGAGTTATGGAATATTGGTGTGGGGTTTCCAATCATATTCCAAAAAGTTATTTAAATTGCAAAAAAGGGCGATAAGGCTTGTAAGTGGTGTACGCTCTAGAACTCACTGTAAACCTATATTTAAACATTTCAAAATTTTAACTTTACCTGCAATATATATATTTCAAGTTTTGTTGTATGTAAAAAATCATTTGGAAATTTTTTCAGAAAATTCAAATAAACATAATTATGAAACCAGATTTAAAGACAACTTACAAACAGTGCTTTGTAAATACTCAAAGAGTCAAACAAACATTCAATACATGGCAGCTAAATTGTTTAATAATTTATCAGTGGAGTCTCGGGAGTTGTCCTTGAACACTTTCAAATCAAAAATGAAGACATATTTAATACAAAAATGCCCGTATACAGTGGAGGATTTTTTCACATGTCAAAATATTTCTATTTAATTGTGCCTGTATTTTGTATGTATATATATATATAATTTTTTATTGTACTGTCTTATTATATTGATTGATTACATGTAAGTATTCATTTGCTGTATTTAATAACAGCATTATGTATTTTGTGACGATTGTTAATGCATTGTGAAATGTCTACAACAATAAATTGATTTGATTTGATTTGATTTGATATTTCTAGCACAAAATACCAAAGCTGAAAGCGCTTATTCGTCCCACTAGCGTGTTTCCCGTACCTTACTGGTCTGTGGATACGTTCAAAGTTCAACCTCCAAGTTATTTGGGAATTACACAAAACATACATCGCAATCTGGCATTTTTAACAGTGTAAAAACCTACAAATAAACAGGTCTGCACCATTTTAGATATAGTACAACTCCCATCACCTGGATTAGGTGACTTCATGTAGCCTAGAAATAAAATCAGTAAAATTGACCAAATAACTAGGTTTATTACAGTGTTTGCAGTTTGCAATATAATCTGTGACATATTTTAACCCTTCCCGAGCGGTGACTGCAGGGTGAAGCCTCACTAAGAGATCAATAATTTGGTTGGGGTAAAAAAAATTATTTGAAATTTTGATGTTATTCCACTTTTACCTCATGGTAAAACCATGGTTTAGTTGATTACTAGTGTACATGTTGCTCGAATTTGAGCAATTGCAAAGTATTACAGGAGTTATTTCAAAACTAATAACAGTCATATTTACAATGAGTTTAAAAGAGTCAAATCAAAGATTACCGGTGTGTAACTCAGACCATGTTTATCTTCGTCATTGATAAACCTAAAGCATTCCGGCCGGTTTTCTCCTTCTTAAAATGCCTCGCTGTACATGCAACAAATGTCATTGATAAAGGGCCAATTGAGAACGAAAAGTCGTTTTGGGGTAGTGTTAGGGCGCATTTGTAACTTAATAGTTGAGATTGTCCGGGGTCAGGTGCTGACTGTGATGAGTTAAGCCTATTGCGCGCCACAGTTCTGTAGCTGCGGTCGTTATCATGATTATGCCTCATGTCTATGTTTCGTTGTCGTCACGTCGGAGGCATTTAAAATAAAAAAAACAACAAATAAACAAATTATAGCTACATAAAACAACGATAAATGGACAAATTTAAGTTACGATCATGCTAACACGCTCCCTCATAGCGACACAAAACAACGATAAATACACAAATTTAAGATACAACCATACTAACACGATCCGTCTTGGGGGTTATGTTTAAACACTAACTAAAATAGTAGCCTAAATAAATATACTCAATGTGTTTCACTGAGAATTGAAAAATAAATAACAGCAATTAAATTATACAGCTGATCAAAATGTAAACAATTATGTTCTACATAAGGATAACATGGGAACTTTCAAAGCCACTGGGGCAGAGCCCAAGGGACTTTTTCAAAAATGTAAGGCCAGTTTGCAAATCTACGCGACACGCTCTTTCCAATGAGGCTTCAATGGATAAAATCGAGTAAGAAATGGCGGAGGAGTTCAACCGACAAAGTTTCATGTAGCGTATTAATTATATAGATAGACACCTTTTATATAAAAATCATTTTTTTACAAGTTTTGTAACCATAATTTTTACGGTGTATATATACGTCCAATGCTCGCTAAGGAATGTATTGATCCGTATATATTATAAATACATATGTGTTGTACGCTTGTGACCTTCAGATTGAATTGCGTATAAATACGGCAAACACTCGCAACTGAATAGCATCGTTGGCATATATATACATACGGCCAACGCTCAGGAATGGTTATATGTGAATTGAGACAATCTTGTGCCAAGTCTCTTGTAGTGTTGTATTAAGCAGGTGATAAGTCAACTGCCTAATGCCTAACGCTCTCTTCTCCCAATTTAATTAACTTTTTTCTTGAAAAAACTGTAATTCACTGTCAAATACTTACAAGGCATAAGATATCCCCTGATTTGATCATATCCAGTGGTGAACGGGTCAAATATCCAACGGCATCCTACAAAAAATCTTCTCTGATATTCATCTTGCGGGTCGGGTAAAGATCGGAAGCAATGTGTCCAGAGTCCCAACCTTTGAAGCTTTGCTCCAGTTATCCGTTCGTCACTGACTAACCACGAAGCGGAGAAGAAAGCAACAAATATTGACACAAACGCCAGGGCAAACACACCTACTGCGACGTTACCAGACAAAGTTCTTCTCTTCATTCTGAAACAATCAAATTACTTAATCAGAGCTGATCTTTCCACTAAGCCAATTCATTACAATGGTTTACGCTAATATTAAGTTATAGGACTATAAATCCTGAATAGGTACTGAAAACAGAACATTTGGACTTAATAAACTTAAGTATGCCTAATCAATTGATTTATAAATCTGAATAATGGGATTATTGGTATTGTAGAAACTAAAATAGCTCACCTTATTGTTTCAATTTTGTTCACAGATTTTTTTGTGACAAATGTTTGCAATAAAATAAATACGGTTTTCAGGGGTCACGTCCCATTTTGTGACTCTAATTACAAATAAAAAGTTGAGTTACCGTACTTTAATTCAAACCGATGGACATAGGGCTCGCCTATATTTAAATATATTGCTACTTTTGACTTAGTAAATAGACTTTCAGTAGGTATAGAGGTCTGCCCACCAGATAGTCTCTCAGGGTGTCTTTGAAGGACTTAATGTCGAGCTCGGGCACTTCAACTGGGAGCATGTTATAGAGTTACAGTGTTATGTGTATCAGAATACACAGATATGCAAGGCCTCTTTAAGTGCGCATTGTTGTTTTGGATCCAGGTGTGATGTAAAATTGAACCTCTGACCTCAGTCGAAACATTATAAACCTATAGCCTAGTATTACAAATTTTAAGTACCATAGATAGATGGAATAGCACCTGTAATCGTGGCAAAATTTTAAATAATCTAAATCTAAAATGGACCAAATCGTCCCTGGTCACAACAAAATCATGAGCTTCCCTGTGTACAAAATACTTTTTTGTGGCCTCAAGTGTAAGCCCCCTTTCAGGTCGAGGCCCCCAGAGGCGGTTAGGGTACTACTTACGGCCCTGTTACTAATATAATAGCCTAGGCTATCTTTAAAATAAGTTAGTTAGGTAGGCCTACCTATTCGGAAATTATGTCGGAGATGGTGGCCACGAGAACCATAGCAATTTATATATCATTAGAAACTAGATTTTTACAGTACTACCTGAAAACAAAGGTGCAAAAATTTGTCTGCTGTCAAAAAAACTTAATAAACTACGATCGTTTGAATTTTATTACTGTAATGCCTCTTGTATGCTTGTCTCTGTCGCCATTACAATTAATTGACTAACACAAGTAAACATGAACATTTGAAAGGATCGTCTAGGGCAAGAAGATGAAACCTAAGATGTCAAACATTATGTTTCTACAAAGCAGGGGCGGCTCCAGAAGGCAGACCAGGTAGGCCCGGAGCTACCCAAAATGTTGGTAGATTATTCAAAATTAGAAAGAAATAAAGCAATGTAATTATATGTAAATAAAGGGAAAGCATTTAAAAAAACTAATTATTTTGCACTTAAATTTTAAAACTCCACCCTTTTTGCGGGGAAGCCCTTCAAACCGCTCGTCCCCCAATCAAACTCTTTCTTGATCCTTGCCAGGCCCACCCAAAAAATTAATTCCTGGAGCCCCTGCTACAAAGAGGTAGAGGCATTATAGGCCTAAATTAAACTGAACGTTGATCAGTTCTTATTTAGACACTGAGGTAGGTAGGTAGCCTAGGTTGGGTGTTAGCCTAAGTTATGTGGTTTTGTGACTGTATTAAGTGTTTTGAAGTTAGATTAGATTAGAAAGGTAAAGTTTAGGTTATAATAAATCTAGTTGTTGATTTATGTTATCACGAGACTGTTGCACTTTGTTACTTAAATACTATAACTTAGTGCTATAAACACAATAAAAAAATTTCAAAAATGCTTGCGTCCGTCAACCATACGCTGATACGCCGTCCATCAATGACGTCACCTGATGAATGTATCACGGTCGCCTGTTGGCGTATTTAACTAGGCCCTAGGCCTATATAAATTATAAAATGAAATTGATCTTCATTTGATTTTTTCACTAACTTATCAGCAAGGTTGGTTAAGTTAAGTTAGTTTAGGTTAACTTAGGTTATAACAGTTTAATTTATAATTTAGGCTATAGGCTATAAGTTAAGCACCGGTAGTTAAAAATATTGAATATACAAGTGTATACACCAACAAGCGTCCGTGATGTCATTGACGGACGGCGTATCGGCGTACATTTGACGGACGAGTAGCCACAGCGTTGTAAAAATCACTAAAGTAGGCTTAGGTTAGCTTAGGTTCATAAATACTGTATTTTCTACTTATAACCGTAATAGACATTGGCAAGGAAACCATCTGTCTTAAAATTGTCCAAAAACAACACCAAAGATGATTCAGGTTATTTTCCAAACATCCATAGGCCTAGGCCTAGCCTAATTTATTTTATAAGTTCAGGCCAAATCAGATAGGTCCTAGTCTAACCTTAGGCTACTGAGACCTGCCTGCTCAACTATAATTAATGTGCAAGACAAACCTTCGAGTTTTATTTGAAATGTATTTAACGAGATCTGATATTTAGAGTAACGTAACCTAACTCACTCTACTAGGTCTAGGTTACAGTGAAGTTTACTAAAATGTTACCTTAGACAAGCTGATGTTTCACAGGATGTAGAATTTGTGTCGTTATTATAATTTAAATATTTTATAACGTTCACAATTTTAAATGCACGGCACTTAATTAATTAACTAGAACAAATCTTAAACTTTTTTAATTAAAAACTGTTATATTGTTTACTAATATAAAATGGCAACGCCCATTCCGACTCCGTTGTTTCGTTCGTTTCGTTTCACGTTCTCTCTTTTCATTCCAGTCCGTTGGTGATTGGTCCCCCACTGCACCAGCGCTGTTAGCAGGGAAAGCTAGAACCACAAATTAGAATACCGCGATAAATCAAAATGTTATCACAGTTTAAAATAGTCCACAACGGTTGTGAATAGTATTTTACCACAAACTAAATTAAAAATATCTATAAAATCGTTAACCAAGTAATGGGCAGAACAGTTTACAATAAACGACTCCTTCCGTAGAAGAATGAACCGTACACAGTATGTCTTTCACGGTTAACTGCATGCACTGTCCATGAAATGATTGCGCAAATGTGGGAAAATCTTGTATTCAGGAGTTGTATGACACACTCTCCACTATTGTTGTTGTTTTTATGCAATACACTTAAAATTCACTTGAAGGTCGGCCAGACTCTATGGAACAAGACTATGTACCTTGCTTTACATCAAAATGGTTTTGCCTATTAGGCAAGTGTTTCATAGTTTCATAGCCTAAATGTTAAAACATCGATTTATAGTCAAACGATTTTGCTTGCAACCTCAACAGTAACTGTCGACTTTGACGGGTTTCACTTTCACTTAGTAAATCTTAAAAAATCGAACTTTCATAATTATATGAAAATCTACCCGAATTAGGCTTTCCAATGACCTATTAATTAATTAAATTGGTTCAGTAGAACTGTAGATTTAATTGTAAAAAGTTTAACAACAACATCTTTAATTCAGTATTTTCTCACCACTATAAATTGGGAGGTTGCTTAACGTTTTTGCAAATAACTTTGAAATGGTGAGGAAATCGACCAAAGTGGTTCTAAAAAAGAATAAAATTTCCTACAAATTAATAGAATTAATTTAATAAAATCAAACTTTCATAATTATTGTCAAATTAACACGAATTAAGCTTTTCAACGAACCGTTAAGTAACAAAATCGGTCTGGTATAAGTCTAGATTTAGTTGGACAAAGTTTAACAAAAATATATCTAATACAGTATTTTCTCATCACTATAAATTTGGAGATCACTTAGCTCATTGCCAATAACTTTTAAATGGAGGGGAAATCGGCCGAAGAAGATGTGATATTCTGAAAGAGAATAAAATTTACTACAAATAACTACTATATACAGTATTTCTTGAAAATACTTAATAAAGGCAGCCAAAAGCTGGCTACAAATAGAAACTTCAAAACAGAAAAAATGGAAAAAACTGTTTTTATTTTTGTTATTTTTACTTTTTCACCACAAATATTTAGTAAAATCACACTTTCATAATTATTTGCAAATCTACATGAATTAGGCTTTCCAATGACCCATTAATTAACAGAATCAGTCCAGTAGAAGTCTAGATTTAGTTGTACAAAGTTTAACAAAAATATCCCTAACTCAGTATTTTCTCATCACTATAAATTTGGAGATCACTTAGCTCATTGCCAATAACTTTTAAATGGAGGGAAAATCGGCCGAAGTAGATGTGATATTCTGAAAGAGAATAAAATTTACTACAAATAACTACTATGCATTTCTTGAAAAAAGGCAGCCAAAAGCTGACTACAAATGCAAACTTCAAAACAGAAACTTGGAAAAAACTGTTTTTAATGTATTTTTGTTATTTTTACTTTTTCACCACAAATATTTAGTAAATTCACACTTTCATAATTATTTGCAAATCTACATGAATTAGGCTTTCCAATGACCCATTAATTAACAGAATCAGTCCAGTAGAAGTCTAGATTTAGTTGTACAAAGTTTAACAAAAATATCCCTAACTCGGTATTTTCTCATTTACTATAAATTCGGAGGTTTTTGCAAATAAATGGTGAGGAAATCGACCAAAGTGGAAGGTGATATATACTGAAAGAGAATAAAATTTCCTTCAGATTTATACCATGCACTTCTTGGAAATACTCACAAAAGGCAGCCTGATTAATAAAATCAGTCCAGTAGACCTCTAGATTTAGTTGTACAATGATTTTTGAAACTGAATTATATATAAGTAGAAGGTAGAAGATAAGTACATTGATGTTTATGAAATTTGGCAAATTTATTTATTTTATCCTATACTATTAACTTTTGGTCCAAGAAACACTTTTTACGTACCCCGTAGCAGTAAATCTAGGTACTCGTTAATTCTAATCCTATAAATTAATAGGCAAGCACGTTTCTTGAAAACCTTTTTTCTCAGCTCGTGTGCATCGCAGTGGAAAATCTAATGTTAGAGTGTTTCTAAAATCTAATGTTATCTAAGCGTAATGTTAGAAAGATATATTTTCCTGTCGGTGTGCAGAATCCACGAATACTGGAAAATACCGGTATTTTTCTAGTATTCGTGGCAGAATCTCTTTATAAATCAAAATATGCTCAAAAATAAACACAAAAAATGAATTTAAAATTTTAAAAAATTAACACGGGCCTTATGGGTTGCCATGGTGACGAAATTTGAGTCTTCGACCACTGGATGTTTCGAACCAGTAGTCGAACCTTCTAAAACCAGCCATTTGTTTAGTAAATCAAATTATAAAATTAAAATGGCCTCTGTTTAAAATTTTAAATTGGGCCAAGTTATTTTGTCTTCAGACAAACCTTTAACAACACACAAAAATAAAATTGGTATTAGGCAACACATGCATGTCAAGTCAAAACATTAGAAGATTTCAAAACTGACTCTAAAAGATGCCTAATTCCTCCATTAACATAGGAAGCGGAGACAAAGACCCAACAATAGAAGATAAACTATGCAAAGAAGAATAGTTTAATTTGAATAATAGTTTCATATCCACTGAGCTATAATTCTAACTGGAGGTAGCACTGAATGTCAAAGATGCGTGTCGCCAGCCGCCATGTTTGCGTGAGGTGTGAGTTATAAGAAGCCATATTATTGCTATGGCTAATATTATACTTGGCTTAAAATACCTACTTTGTATGGTCGCCATTTCAAAGAAAATTATTAAAGTATTAAAAGTATTCAAGTATGACAAAAATACTCACTGCTATACCAACCTAGTTATAAGAAGCCATGTTATTGCTATGGTAAGAAAACTTACTGCTATACCAACCTAACAAAATCAGCGACTCGCTTTTGACAGACTTCTGCCATGGCAGTGCTACCTCCAGTTATAATTTTAGCTCAGTGTTCATATCCAATACTGTTGATCTTAGAATAGGTTGGACATTTCTTTTGTTTGACAATGACGAAAATTATTTAGTTTTACCAGGAAATGAAATAACAAAAAATCATCGTTAATATCTACTATGACAAATTTGTTTAACTACGTTTTTTCTCCCATTTGAACACAAATTGTACAATCATCACTTTACTTTAAGTACCTATATTCCCAGACAATGATCAGAGTAGGCTACTGTATTTTGCAAATCGTTTAATATGTTAAATACTTTGAGGTTTAGTACGGTAGCCATGATTATAATAGTAGCCTAATATTTTCGTATTTTCGTCGTACGTACTGGCCGGAAACAGCCGCGCGTGTTGTGGGAAATAGCGCAGTATCTTTTGTCCACAAAATCGCCAAAATCATTCTTTTTCGGGTAACTTCAAATTGGGAACAGAAAAATATATGGTAAATTGTTCAATTCGCTAATTTAAAATTGCTTTATAGCTTATTATATGTTGTTTGAGTTACTATTTGAAACACACAGAATACTGCTAATCAGTGCTAATCACACAATATTTGAAGTTATGTTACAAACAACAGAAATGTATAAACATTGTTGAGGACTTTTTATAACCTCTTATGTGGTCTAATTTTGTAACGATTTGTAGCTTACAAATTGTGGGTTATTTCCACAGTATGGTGAAAATAGTTGTTCATCACATGGAAAAAACGTGTCTTTTTGGTAGCCTACCTATAATTGATAATCGTATTTCAAAAATTGCGCACCGTACCAGTACCATCAAGAGAGCCACTTTCCCCCAAGTAGCAAAAAATGTTGGCACTACTTTTCTGTCCATGGTTGGCCAACAGTATGTTTTGGCACTAAGTCTTACGGTTATGGCCATTCAACCAATTTTTAACGTAGGACCAACCATCCCATATGTGGCCTAAATACAAAAACACAAATAATAAAGATTTAAGTATGAAAAGCATATTTATCATTTGAGTATATTGATTAAATAGTTCATAAAAACAAATTTTGAAAAAAACTATAAAAAAATCTTGACCAAATGGGTCTTGACCTTTGATTAATGAGCCTCTTACCTTACCTTTGAGCTATCTGTGATTGTTTCTATTGTTTCTATTATGTGTTTTTGATCGGTCAAAGAGGAGCCGACAGTTGCAATGATCGCAATACTAAAATATTTTTGAAACAAAGATTCTGTTTAAGCTCCAAGTAGTTGAATTATTTTTTTCTGAAAGTTGGAGAGGACACTGGTACTGGTATTTAAATATAGAATAATTAATTACAATTAGTAATGTTATTATAATTAATTGTTATATGGTAAATTAATCGTTCCCCTTAAATTGTTGAACTATTAACAATTTGCTCAAATACGTTTTAAAGAATATCAATTTAAAAAAATTATTTGCATTATTTTTATTATTATTCGTTAAGTAGGTGTTCCATCACTGGAGTATCACAACTATCACAACATTATATTATAGATCCAATTTCTCCAAAATCGTCTTATATTCTGCTGCCATAGCATTTATTTCCTTATTAAATAAATCAATTTGTTGTTTTAGAATGTTTTATACTTCTTAAATCCAACAAAGGCCCAACGATTCTTCCCAAATTATTTCAGGAAAGAAATAGACCATCGTGGATTTAAGAGTCAGCTTAAAGAGTTTTTAATTTGTATAATTGTTTTTATAATGTTAAGGATTTTATTTGTTAGATTAAACTATGCAAAATGTTAATTTTGTATTGATTGTGACGCTTGCCAATGTACGAGTTTATGGCAATTAACATCATTTATATAAAAATATTTTATACCTGTATCTGATAAGTGTGATTTTATCAGTGTTTAGTAACCTATAAAATGTATTATACAATAGATAAAACCATAGATAAAACATACTCCCTTAGATAACATACTCCCTTAGATAAAACATACTCCCTTAGATAACATACTCCCTTAGATAACATACTCCCTTAGATGATACTCCGATACTCGTAATTTATGTAATGATTTGTAACAACTTTACTACCCATGATAATATACATGATTCGTAGCATTAGCCATTAGCATTCCACTTCTTACTCTATGCTAGCAAGGTGCCATGGTTGCTATGGTTACTAAGCTTGAAACACAGTAAACAAAGTGGCAGAATGTCAATGTTGTGTTGTTGTGTTGTTGCAGAAGGTGGTTGAACTTCTCTGTATGCTAGTGGATAGTGATAGGTTTTTCAGTGACCCTTATGCCTTATAGGTTTTTGGTTGAACCCTTTACTAAGGGTACCTATCCTATAAAATAGGATTTCCTTTAACCTAACTCCTTATATCTGTAAGTAGGCCTAATGTTCTGTTTAATGATGAAACAATTATTGATTTAAAATCAAATATTTAGAAAAATTAATATATTAAAAATTATATAAGTTATAAGAAGTTAGTTATAAGTTATAAGAAATAAGTTAAGACGAAATTTTATTCCCCGATTTAGCTTTGTTTGTATTGCCCTATGCCTATTTCTTTTTATGATTTTTTTCACATTGTAATCAAACATATAGGCTAGCAAAAAAAAAAACATTTATTGTTTAATAACCCATAGTAGAGCCTATTACAATTCTGTGGTTCTAGCAAGCTCATATGTGTGTGTGGCTTTCCAGACAAAGTTTTACTATGTACCACACATCACTTAAAGCTTAAATATGTCATCGGATTCTTCAGAATCAAAAAAACCTGATCAAGTTTCCAAGGTGAAACCATTACCAAGAAGAGTTCAAAAACTCCAAAGTTCAGATGAAAGCGATGAAAGGCAAAACAGCCAAGGGTCAAAAACTTCTCAGAAGAGTGTAAAGCAAACTTATCATCCTAAGGTGACTGTCCTCGAAGAGCTTAGTCTGAAACCAGTTGTTTCTGCTTATAAGGGTAAGTTCATGGTTTAAATTTAAAAAATTAAAAATATGTTAACTATATAAACAGCTTTCTATTCCTAACTAGTAACTTTTTTTTTTTGTGCACGTATCAGCTATTAAAAGAGATGGCGATGCCAACTAGATGTGTGTATTAATCGAACCATCAAAAATGTACTGACTTTTGCCAGAATCAATCCGGCAACCTTTTGATTGTTAGGTGATGACCATTCAGCCGCCAGTCATGTCATCATCTTACTATGCATTTATGTTACACTCGGTCAGATCTATAATGGAGGCCCAAGTTAAGAAACAATATTACTCATCTTTCTGGAAACTGAGGATAAACAATTAACATGCTAACCACAGTATACAGGTTTAATTTGCAACCGTGAAAAGTATCTTAATTTATTCATTTATTCATTTATTCATGTAAATTGTCACAAATTACACCATATACAGAGGAGTTTCCTCAATGGTTGATGACATGTCAAAAATATGATACAAAAATGTTAAAAACTAAATTAATGTAACTTAAACATAATGAGAAAACAAACTCTCCACATGAACCATTTTACAAACCACTATTACTATATAAAATGAAATCCTCTACTGAATAAAACATATGGCTCTTTAGATAGTTTACAAGTTTTCTAAAACTTGTAATGCTTATTTATTTACTGTATAGCTGGTATTTCATGAATATTTATATTAACTATTTTATTGCAGACGAGTTACCCAAAGGAACAGCAACAACAGTAAACTCAACACCTCCAACTGTAATTACAGCTGTTTTGAAGGATTTGCGAGACGATATTGTTAGGATACCAGATTACAGGCAACCAGGTAGTATGTTACTGATCATTAATTTAACTTTTCACCATTTGATTCTTTTATAATCTTATGTTCACAAAATAACTGTTGGTTTCATAACCAGTAGGGTAGCCTGAGGATTTGTTGATACAGCTAAAGTACAGACATGTCTATCAGATGTATTTTAATTTGGTATATGCTTTACGTGGCCTACAGTAGGGTTAAGAACCGAAGCGGATTAAAAGTGCTCTTACCGCCAACAAATCTAACTCCCACCCGTCCGCAACGTAGTATGGAAAGAAGTTCTAACCAATCTTTCAAATTCTCCTCAAATCCCGTCAAATGACAATCCCATTGATTTGGACATTGACACATAAAACATGTTGTTTGCAATGTAGGCCTACTGTCGGTATATTAAAATAAATCATTTTTACATTTGTGTAATTATATCTGAAGGATTGTGTATATATCTATTGTGTTTTTATTATGAATATATGTATATTTATTTGAATCATACAATGTTTTCACATTGATTACATAATAAATATTTTTCATTTTAGTTACTTAACTTATCTTTCAATCTGAGCAAAGCTCGGTGTCTCGGTACTAACAATTTGAACTGTTTGAGATAGAAAAGAATAAAATAAATATATCGAACTTCAATACCATTTAGTTAGTACTAGACAGAAAATCACTCTGAATCATCAAATTTATAGTCTTACAACAGACATTTTTCAGTGAAACTCATTGTCCTTTAACCGATATCTCATATTTTGTTGGGTCCTTTAAATTGTAACACCCTTACAGTACCGTTCTATAGTAATGCCAGAAACAAAAGAACCCTGGGCCGTTTCGAGCCACGCAGGTTTGAATGGTACGCCACACCTACCGGCGCGAACCACGTGATCTTTTCGTTTCTGCGCAGGTTGTTTTGTTCGTGGTATGTCTATAGCAGTTTCATGCTCGATTGCCTTTTAAGTTATTTTCCGCCTTTGAAACTTGTATGAAAACAAAAGATATTTACCTCATATAGAGTAAAATTAAATTATTTGAAATATTATCAAAGTTTTATAGATTTTGTTTGATTCCAAGGTCCAATGACTCTAGTGAATGGTGACAGAGCTATTGCAGTCATTGGTGGTGACAACATTTACGTCCAAAACAAGACAAAGTTCATCCCCGTCCCTCGAGAGAAAATCCTAACTGCTCCTAACCTCTGGCCCTATTCTTCCAAGTGAGTTGTCCCTTAGACATGTAATTGTTTTCCACACTATTAGTTTTACAGTATTCTCTATACTGTGTGTTTCTTAGCTTTACTTAATTGATTCTAGACTAAATTCAATTGGCATTATTGTCACGGACTATTGGTTTGTATATTCAATTCATTTTACATCATGACATAATGTACCAGCTACAATTTTAGATTGGTTATTGGTGTCCCCAAGTAGTCTCTTTATTTTACAGTATAGTTAACATTTTACAAGACATTTTGAGTTTTAAAAACCAAACTATAAATCTACTAAGTCTCTCTTGTACAAACATGATACTGCCTTTGAGTTGAATTTGTGATAAACTACATACTCTGTATCTGTGAATCTGAAATCTATAAATATAGCTTCCTCCCTATATCTTCAGACCCAATTACCCAAATAGAATTTCAAAGCCAATTATGTAAGTTAAGCCTGTTAAAAAAGACTGTTTTCACAAATCATCCTTGTTTTTCCAGAGTTGCAGAAGATTCTTCATTAGACGTTGCCATTTTGGTTCAGAAGATCTTCACTCCTCTCAGCTCCATCTGCTTTGGGTTGTTAGGCGGAGTGGCACTTTTGCAACTTATTCTGGTAATTTAACTGCTAACCCTTGAGAGGTGACTTCATGGAGCTTTCCTCTGAAGGCTTGCATTATGTAAACAAATGTGTTTTTGCCAGTCCCTAGTTGCAAAAGTCACCGTACTTCACATGTGTCTTTTTTTAGGAACCGACTTTACCTCAATAAACTCTCTAATATCCTCCACACTAGCCCTTACATTCAGCAGATTATAAGAGCATAGCTGCAAAGACGCTACCTTTCTGGCTTACCTCTTGTTGCTAAGATCATCCTGGGGTTCAGTTATGTTTGTTATCTCTTCTTTTATGATTTTCTTGCTGTCATTATCAGGTTACTTTTGCAGTAGGAAGTATTTAATTTGTATTTTTTTTATTTCATTAATTTAATTTGTATTTGGCAGATACATATATATATTTGTAATATATGTATATACACTGTTTATCTATGATTTCATTGCCTGGAAAAAATGTGTAAGTCACTTCTTGTGTTTTAGAATTTAAGACTCCCATGAAGGCTTAGATAGGATTCGGTTTTGTAAGCTTCTGTGCTTTTGCAACTATTTCTAGTCCATATTCACTTGTAAACTTGTCATGTTTATTGAACCACACACAATGGCAGTGACTGACCATTAGAAATATTAAGGGGCAAAAAAACCCTTTAAGGTAGGGTTATACTGTGAATGAACATTAAATTAATTTGTAGGTTTAAGTTTATCCCTCTAAAAACCAAAGGCACCTGTCCCCCTCTAATTGTCGCACTGTGAGCACACTCACACAAAAACGCACATGATTAAAATTTAAGCATTCAGTAGGCTAAATCTTATTGGAGACTGCTTTTCCCTAAGTCTTTATTCATGAACATCTTATTTTCCATTGTAGGAAGTTCATTGATGTTTACATCTAGCATGTGTCCCTAGGTACACCATCTGATGGGTGATGGTTCGGAGGAGGAGGTTAGATTCTTCCTTCAGTCGTACTCACTGTTTGCTCAGATCGCACCTCTCCTCTTTTATGTTCTGCTGGCCATTTGTATTGTTTCCATGTTAGATAGGTAAGTAAAGAAAGTAGTTTGGGTTTTCCATATTATTAATTTCAGTAGCAATTCTAGGAAGTCCTCAAGGGGCAGGTCTACAGTCGTGAGGGGGGTGGGTTTGGGGGTTGTGGAACAAAAGGAGGGTGATGGGGGTTCTCAAAACTTTCAAACATAAATAGGATTAAGTGCTCAACAAAGTGAGTAACTTCTGTCAAATTAACATTTTTACAGGACCTCCTTTACAAAGTGCACAGTTTTGTGAGTTATCAAGGCTATGGTCACTTTTACTCACTGATTTTACTAGCTACTTATTAACCCTTTGAGGTCGAATGGCGAGTATAGTTCGCCGCCTGCCATTTTCCCGATTATACTGGAATGGCAAACTATGCTCGCTGAAAAATGGGGAAAAAATTCTACCTCAAGGGTTAAAAACACCAAATAAAGTCGCTCCTCTATGCATGATGTCTTGCTTATAGACACTATACACTGATGGGATCATGACAAAATTAATCAATGAAACCTGTTCAGTGTTCATATAGCCATTACATATTTTAAGTGAAACCAGAGTTGACCAAAAATCATTTTAAAAGCCATGTTATTACAAGTCTTGACACAAAAATAAGTGAAACCAAGTGGTAGGTTAATGAACTGTTTTTGACAATCACAAAAAAACCTATATGTGAAGGGCAAAGCTAAAACTTTCAAGGATGGCGGTCGCAGACTGTTAAATAGTCAAATATGTGACAGAGGTAACTCATACCAGCGTTTCATTTAGTTTCTCACAATGTACCTAAACACCTTTCACAGAGTAACAGTTGAGCAGGACCCGTGGGTGTTTCGGCCATCTTGGATTGTTGTGGGAATGTACGTCCTAACATTGGTTGCTAACTTCAGCTGTGCTTCCTACGACGACATGCTTACTATGTATCGTCAGAATAAAACAATCTTTGAGGACCGAATGGTGAGTTTAGCTTTAAGCTTTCATATTTTCTTCAATTCCAATACTATAGCTTTTTATTTACCTTGACTTTTCAATGATATTGTTTTCCATGTATTTGCTGATGTAGCTTAGCAAAATTTAGTGTTAAAAAATATTTTTTAGCATTTTAATTTTCATAATACCAGTAACTATTTCTATACTTTAAACTTACAGTTATAATTAAGGTATTTATTAAAAGAGTATCAGAAAACAGTTATTTAGGTTGTCATCATCAAGTAGTGTTAACCCACGAGAGCACGCATAACTGTCTAAATGACCGGGTTTGTGCTGTTTTGCGTAAAAATTATATTAATGGTTGCCAGTATTGTCAGCCTTTACTGTGCATAAACACATTCCAGATAAAATGTGACCTACTTTTTGCCATCCTTCACCTCCTCATTTCAGTCTAGCGACAGCTTTTTGTCACGTACTGGTCGATTCCACCCTGTTCGTCTCCTCGTGGTTTGTAAATTAAATGCTTATTTTTCTTTTAATTGTTGATTGGCTACAGTCTTAATTCATTAGTCTTGTTATTAAATTATTTGTTGGGCCATAGCTTATAGTCAGGACTTAAAATTTACTGAGATGGTATTTATGTACCTCTCAGTGGCTAGATGTAGAATCTAACAAGTAAAGTTTCATTGATACACCCGTACTATAGGATTGATAGTGCATCGTCGAGTGTTGAGAGAGATGAGGATGTTGAATGTAGAATGTTTAATATGAGGCAAGATTGAGGCTTATAGGATATTTTCTTAGGCACCTTTTCAATGAACCATTGAAGACAGAGGCAAACATTAAAGTGATAAGGATTAATCCTAAAACTTAAAAAGAATTTGATCTTTACAATACAGTGATGAATTATAATGATGTATAACTGAAATTGTTTTAGTGAACTATCCTATATTTTTTATAGTTTACTATACAGATTGTTTCATATATATTTGTCATTTAGATACATAAAGAAAACTTTTGAGGCATTATTGAGTTAAATAAGTAACGATTCACACAAAACAAAAATGCAAGGTGTATGATTTAATTAAAACTGTCCATTTTTTTACACGGTGTTTTCAATTTTGAGGAATTAAAATATACTTTCTGAAATATGGCTTTATAATTATGTAGCCAGTTGAAAAGACTGTGCGCATCTCTTCATGTTTTTAATTCGTTGCGCCATCTGCCAGAAGCATCCCTGGTAAAATATTTATGTATGTGTTGATACAATTAACTGGATTCTTTTCTAACCACGGTACAGTGTACCCATGTAGCACAGATGGTTGGGCCAACGTTGGCCAACTGTGGGACAGTTGGTCGATGGTTGGTTGGAGCTTCCACAACCAACCAACCGTTGTCCAACTGTATATCTCGTAGTTGGGCCAACCAATATTTACAACTGTGGACCAACATCGGTTCATTGTTAATGAAATACATTAATATGCATTGTTGGGTATCATACATCAAGCCAACCGTTGTCCAACCGTTTTTCACTCCGTTAAGATACTTTTGTTGGACCAACAATGGTCCATAGTTGAGTTTACACGACTTTCATTCTCTGGGTCTAGCTTTCACAACATAATTATAATAAAATATCTGGTTTTACAATACCTTTATCAGTTCCAAAAGTTTCCAAAAGTTTTTGGAACTGATAAAGGTATTGTAAAACCAGATATTTTATATATTACAGTTCCGGGGCTACAACAATGAATTTTAATAATTATAATAATGCAAATATTTTTTAAATTACTATTCTTTAACTTATTTGCAACAATTTAAGGGGAAAGAGTAATTAATCATATAACAGTCAATTATAATAGCATTAATAATCTAACGGTAATTAATTAATCTATATTCAAATACCAGTATCCTCTCTAACTCAAAAAAAAAAAAACTACTTATGATGCCTTAACAGATTAACAGAATCATATTATACTGTGTAGTATCAAAAATGTTTTAAGTATTGCGACCATTGCAACTGTCGGCTACTCTTTCACCACTTGAAAACTCTCTGTATCAACAATCACAGATAGCTCAGTGGTAAGGTAAGAGGCTCATAAGTCGAAGGACCCGGGTTCGAGACCCGTCTGGGCCAAAAAATTTTGTTCCAGCTTTTTTTCAAAATTTGTTTTTATGAACTATTTAATCAATTTACTCAACTAATAATTATGCTTTTCGTACTAAATCTTTATTATTTTGTGTGAAATAATTTTGGTTGGGCCATTGTTGGACAAAGGTTGGCTGGAAAACAGTTTAAAGAGGTGACATTTCTACCGTTGGCCAACTGTGTGGCTCCACAATTTACCAACGTTGGCCCAACCATCTGTGCTACATGGGTATAAAGGATTGGTGTGACTTGTTCAGCAATAATAAAAATTACTCTATCTGAAAAAGACTATCTGGTACCTTTTACTACTTAGTAAAAGACTATCTGTAACAGTAACATACCTAACTAGTCGTTTTACTATTACAGAAAACACAAGAAGTGATGAGCGAATGGCAAGCTCTCAACACTGCTCGGTGTTTGTTTGCTTTACTCGGATGGCTTCTCTTCTCTTTGTCGTCACCCAATGATCTTCTTCTTGAGCATCTCCAAAATATTCGGCAGTTTCAACAAGAAAAGCTTCCGACTAGTATTGGAGTTCAGTAGTCAAAATTGTATTTTTCATTCTTATCATTTATTTATTCATTTGAAACGAATTTAAACAAATAAAAATTTTTACAAAGGCTGAACACCATGCTGCAAAAGCCTGAAAAGCAAGGTTTGCTGCCTTGTAGCAAGTGTTTGTTAAGTATGCTGCCACATGTAGTATAAAGTGTATTACCGTACACGATGTTAGACAAAATGCAAATATATATATCACCCCCTCATGTGTTTAGTGGTTATTTATGTCCTCTTTAATTATTTAATCTTGGCTCACCTACAAGAAATAAATTGACCTAATTTCACAATAATGTGAATCAGTTTTAGATACCTCCAAACAAAGAATAGCCCAGACAGCACACTTTATCCCAGGGACATCCCATAGTAGTCCCATATGTCCTGAGAATGTCTCGGGATATGTGCGCTATCCTCAGGATATCCCGCAAAATCCCGGGACGAGTACGAAATCCACAGGATATCCTACAATATACCGTAATGTCCCGGGATTTGTAAGTTAACCTCAGGATATCCTGTAAAGTCCCGGGATATGTACGAATGCCATAGGATATCCCATGACATCCCGGGACATGTAAAAAATTCACTGGATATCCTGTAATGTCCCGTAATGTCCCGGTAACAAACTGAAGAAAAAAATACTACCACTGATGAAATGTACAGTATATCTAAATTTAAATGTTCAACAAGGCCAATATATAATAATTTGTTTTTTTCACTAGTGCTTTCAGAAACTTGGTTTCCATCTTCAGGCTGTGTTTACACTAGTACAGAAAGTAAATATTTACTTAATAAATTAATTAAGTTAAAATAGATGATTTAAAGGATATTGGAAAAATAAAAACTAATATTAGAAAAATTAATCTTTTGAATTTTGGATATGTTACAGTGTTGTTCTTGATGTAATTATTTTCAGTAATTCCGAATTTATAATTGGGCCGTCTTCATTATTTAACAAATAATTTTGGTATGTTTTTTTTCTAAAAATAAGATTCCCACGCATTAAGATGTTGAGGTTTGTAATTTATTTTAAAAGTTTAAGGTTTCCCAGATTGAAAATATGTCTTGTTAATACTATGGCTAGCAAGGGTTGACTTTACTTTACTGACATATTACTACCACTGAGTTCAGGAAAACTAGAGTTCTATCATAGTTGTGTGAAATGTGAATTTAATTCTAACTTTAAATTAATAAAACAACAAAAAACTAATTTTAATCATATAAAAATCAATTATTACAGTGCTAATCTAATGGTGATTAAATAATCTATATTCAAATACCAGTATCCTCTCCAACTACCAGAAAAACAATTCAACTACTTGAGGCCTAAACAGATTAACAGAATCATATATAGCCTATACTGTAGTATCAAAAATATTTTAAGTATTGCGACCATTGCAACTGTCGGCTACTCTTTAACCACTTGAAAACACCCATAAACAACAAGCGCAAATAGCTCAGGAGGTAAGGTAAGAGGCTCACAATGGGAAGGTACCAGGTTCGAAACCCGTCTGGGCCAAAAACTTTTTTCTCGTTTTTTTCTTCAAAATTTGTGTTTATTAACTATTTAATCAATTTACTAAACTTATAATTAAGCTTTTCATACTAAATCTATATTATTTTGTGTTTTTTATGTTCAGGCCCAGACCACACTTTATCCCAGGGACATCCCATAGTAGTCCCATATGTCCTGAGAATGTCCTGAGGACTACCCTGGGATGACCTCGGATGTCCCACGGATATGCGTGTGAGCTTATCCGTAGGACCTCCCCGGGCGGGGACATTACGCATTCCTGTGGATATCCTGTGATATCCCAAGTTGACCATAGGACCACTATGGGATATCTTGCATATCCTGTCGCAATATCCGTGGGATGTCCTGAGGAGAAAGTGGGCTGTCTGGGAGTGGTTCCATCTATCAATGAATACTCCATTGATTCAAAAATTCAGTAAAGGCATAGTAGTCAAAACATTCATTTAATTTTATAAATCAAGAAATTGTCTAGTACCTTTATTACAGAAGTTATTTTAAAACTAATAACAACCATAATAATTGTAGATGAGTTTGAAATACCAACTAAAAGCTTATGTAACTGATGGAAATACCTAGGAATACTCTATTTTGCAACAATCAAACGGTTGATAAATAATTTATAGATAAAAAACTTTTTTTAAAACAAAGCGTTTTTAAACCACTAAAAAGTTGAAAATAATTTATAAATATGTGGAGAGTATATATATACATGTAAGATTCAAAACGAAAAACGTGTGGTGCATGCAATATAGATAATTTACAATTACCTTCACCTATTGAACTAATGTATTGTTATCAATTGCATGCACCCATCAATAATTAATTGTCTGTCACTAAACAGCACCACTTGCGACGTTGCCAATTCTACCAGGCCGCGGCCTGTAGATAAAGGTGGCCGTGGCATTGTTCCTTAATAGTGCACAGGACTCCTTAATAGTTCCTCAAACAGCCACCAGGAGTAACTAAGGACTTCCGGACAATTTAAATATGATATTTAGATATGTTTCTTACTCAGGGACAATGCCCTAAAATATTGGTGGAGAGTTCCGGAACACTCTGTATACACGGCCACCTTTGATTAAATAACTTCATGTGGTCCCAGATTATTAACATACCAAATGGCCAAAATTAAAATATTCCTATTCAACCGACAGTGACAGTGTCGATCAGCTCCGTCGACGTCATCCATCAAATCCTGGATGTTGAAGCCTATAACCCGGTAAAAAGCTACATGCTAGTTTCTATGGTTGTTACAACAATGTATGTCTGTCGTCTGTCAAGAAAAAGAACATGCATTGTATTTGTATTGTATTCGCAATCGCAATTCGCAATGTAAACAAAAACAAACAGTGAAACTAGTTGTTATGACCATTTCGTTGTTATGACATGAAAAAAATAGTTTTGTAATGTGAATTAGCCTAGATCATTAGGAACAGACATTCAACTTGGGACTTGGGTAATATTTCTATATCAGTTACTGTATTTTGCAAAATTAACAATTAGGCCTAGGTTAGTTTTGCATTATGGCTCACCTACGCATTTAGGCCTTTAGTGGATTGGCATTCAGAATTTGCCATCAATAGTTCAAAGCATTGACTAGGTTTATTGGATACTGAAGTAGACTTCCCATGTACCTATAAGTATGAACCAGCTGTCACAATTTTTTTTAAGAACTAAGTTATTGTCTAGTTGTTTGAGCCAGACACAGAATGCACGAACTTAGTGTTTAAAATTGTATCCACTACCTATTACCGAATCTCCCTTAAAGGGAACACTTTTTAACCTTCCTTGGGCTGCACTTTACTATAGGTCCTACACTCATTCGAATGAAAATATCGATCGATATATCGATTGTTTCATTCAATATATCGTTTGGTATATCGTTTTGGTCGGCTTTGGCAGTTTATGGTGGTTTATTATGTATAGAAAAGAAAACAGAAAAGAGCGACGCGTGTGGTCAAAGAAGTGCCTTTTGGACAGAAACAAGTTTAGTCACATATGTGATACTGTCTGAATTTACAGTTAACCTAGTTAGGCCTACCCAGAAGACTTTAAAAGCTATTTGGGAATGAATCAGGACACTTTTAAAGAGCTTGTTTCACAACGTATACAAAAGTAAGATACCGGTATGAGACAATCAATTTGTTCTAAAGAGCGTTTCGTTGCTACACTACAGTTTCTAGCCAGTGGTAGAAGCCATGAAAACTTGAAGAATATTGCTCCAGGCTGGGCAGACTGAGGCCGTGTTCGTCGAGCCGCTTGACGTCTCACATACACGACCCTACATGTTGGATGCTCTGTTAGTTATGGGCTGTCCTGTCGAGCAAAGCGTCGAACCCAACATATCCGCCGAGCATGTTGGAACGGCGCCCATACACGGTCGAACATGTTGGGGATCGAGCGGCTTGGACAACTTCTTCGACTGTGTATGGGTAGCTCAAGTACCGTACTCGTTAAACTAATGCTATTGAAATAGGGAATAAAATGTTATATTTAAGGAGGTATTTTTGTGTAAATCCAATCTCAGCTTAGCAGGTTTGCTGTGCCGGGGTTTTTTTTTAAGTAGCCTAGCCTATTTATAGCAAACATCAAACAAATTCTTAACAAAATTACTGGTAGGTACAGGTGAACATGATTATATTTATCTAAAGGTGTTTCATTTCAATTCATCAAGCTGATTTTTCAGGTTATTAAAAATATACCTAATAAAATGTCTTTGGAATTGCTAAAGGAACTTAAAACCACTATCGCTGGTTTGGAACCTGAAGATGTTCCGCCCTGGATCAGAAGATATTACCGAAAATTAGCTCTTTATTGCTCTAAAGACAATACAACTTTAAACCAAGTAAGTTTTCAAAACTATAACGTTTGAATGATAGATTATATAATTTTAGTCGACTAGTACATTTTTTTAAATTAAAATTTATATGCAGGCTACCACAAGATAACCAACAGTTTTCACAAACAAAAGTCAGTTAACAGGTGCTGAATTATGTAGCCTATTGTCTTTGGCAACACAGTCTCAAAAACCATCATAGATTGGCTTCCTTTCTCTTAATTCAGAATCACATGTCTTCACTTGGTTGCTTAAAATCTTACAACTCCATCCAATTGAAGACATTTAAACAGATTTTTCAATCACAAAAATTATTTACATTGGAACAAAGGCCTACATGTTACTGCTTCACAATATTGCTGCATTTGCAAATATGTGCCTATTTCCAAAAGAGGCCGCCAACCCATTTAAAAAATAAGAAAAACTGTATTAGTTACACACACCTTATTTTTCCATTTTATACTCAGAGTAATCATTGCATTTGATGTTTCAGGCTTCCACCAAGAAGGAATTTAGAGATCATGATTGCATTGTTATTGAAAAACAGACTACTTTAAAAACTTTTGTCACTCCATATACTTTGAGGTATGCTGCACAGTTAAAGTAGTCAATGTTCACTGGAGGTGTATCTACTAAAGTGTTTTAGTAAAAATTATATTTTGAAAGTTGCTTACATTTTATCGACATGTAGCGGGAAACTCAAGGCTATAATTTAGCCTACATTATTTCAACAGACAGCATGTGTTTTCTGTTCTCAGTTTTGTGTACTTTGTCTTTCTTGTTACTAATTCTTGTCAATTGTGGTTAGAATCTCAGACTTCTCTGTGAGCAAAATGCATTCAATCCCCGACATATCGACAAAAAGGTTTGGACTGTTTTCTTGGTAAAAAGTTTGGGTATTGCAAAATGCCACTTGCGTAGAGACAAAAAACTGTGTCCACACCAGCTCCTCCCTATTGTATTTCCAAAATTTCTTGGATTTTTGTAAAGGTTTTTACAATTTAAGGGTTTATAATATACCATTCACATTGTTTTCCAGAACACTAAAGCCTTTCATCATGATCGACAGAGAATCAGAGCCCCTCAGAGTGAAGCTTCTCTCTCAGATATGTGAGCGACAAAAGAGACAGTATAAGAGACATCCGATAATGTACAAGTACATAGAGAAGAGACATGTAAAAGCTATCAATAGACTATGCCACATACACTTTTGGCCAGAAATTGACAGTAAGTCATAATTTATATCCTTGATTCAATTGCTTTGATATACCTAAGTCCATATTCTTCAGCACTTCATTTAGTAAAAAAAAAAATGCAGCCCAGAAGCTTTTGTTCAGCTCCAGCTTAACACACTGATTTTAGTTGGTGATTTTTTTCAGAGCGTCCATATAGTATAGTTTACATCATAATGTTTACATAAAGTTTACAAATTAGTATTGTTTATACACTCTTAAAAAAAAATCACAATCAAAACAAATACAAATTTGATGTTGAATTGATAACAAATGTAAAACAATTTTGTTATTTCCTCATTAAAACCTAAGGCACAGTTCACTTAAGCGACTTATTTAGCTGGCTTCTATTGACTAGCATTTTTCACGACCCGGCGATACACCGGTTCACACAAACGACGAGTCCACAAACTAGATGAAAATATCGATATCAAAGCCACTGAGATCCATCACACAACGAGAACAAAGGGAAGTATGCGAGATGCAGTGCGACGACCGACCGCTCGTGTGAACGCTCCCATATGGCTAGAGCTAGAGCAGGTGACTGGGTAGCTGCGATGAGTCGCGACACTTGACTGGGAAGCGGGGCCTGATGATGGTTTGCGACACCAAGCTTGAACGCGGCTCGATCGCCGTCATACGCTCGTGTGAATGGCTTTATTTGATCCTGTGGTCCGCTAAATAGTCCTGCTTACCTAGTCACAGCCTAGTCAGCTAGATAAGTCGCTCGTGTTAACCGAGCCTTAGTCAGTTCTAATTTATCAAAAATGTTAGTTGTAATTCACGGGCAATGGTTTGTAAACAATGATTTTTCTAGCGTTGGTTTCTTTTAATTGTATTTGTATGGATATTAAATAGATATTTTAATATATTTGACAATTCCACAACGACCAAACCTACTGGTAAGACGTATTTGATTATTTTTTGTTAACCATTCGTCACGACTACTGTGAACATCAACATGGTTTAAACTTGTTACAGTATCTGAGGCCCTAGAATTCCCAGAGTTCACTGTGGTGGCTGAGTACAACAGGGTCGTGGTTGGCTTTGGCTTCCTGGTTCCTGACGTGAGTCACTCAGATGCATACATCTCGTTCATTTTCACTCTCCCAGGGTGGCGAAGGGCGGGAATCGCTAGGTTTATGCTGTACCATCTGATTAATGTAAGTAGATGTGGTACATCGCACTCTAATTCAACCTGTCCTGGCCATATTACTATTACCAACTAAGATGGTACACTACTGGACGTAATTTAACCCAAATGAATGATGGACACGTAGAATAGTGTGAAATATCTTGTATTGTTTTTTTACTGACTAAGGCCAGCTATTTCTTTAGCAAGGACCATTTATTAAAAGCCCCAATGATCAAGAACGGTCGGTTACAGGATCGTACCGACAATCTTTCAATTATCAACTGAGCACAATGACCACTCAGCTACCAAGCTTTATGAGTTCTTGTCAATTTATATTTTATCTGTTATCTAACAGTTCAAACTTTTTCATTAGGCCAAAAATGAAACCCTAGTTCAAAATATATAATGTGAGTGTAATAATATAATACTTGCTTTTTTAAAGTTTGTAACTGGACCCAGTCGTCCTTGATTATTGGGCTTTTATTGATTGATTGTGGATAAAGAACCAGCTGATCCTATTCTTGGTTACAAGGTCATGAAGAATTCTTCGTTCAACACTCGTCTTTGGCTAATGACGTGGACCCATTGTATTGACGTAAGAATATAATCTAAACTCATCATCTAGACTAAGCTGTTTGTACAGGCTTGTAGCCTAAGTTAAAAATTGCATGAAGGATGTTTTGATAGAACCCCTGTTTCTTATTCACCATATATTGCAATGCAACGTCCCTAAAATCTCAATTAGGCTACAACACTATACAACAAGCAGTATTTATTTACTGGATACATACATCTCATTAGTCACAGATCTCGCTAAATATCTGGTGTTTCATTAGCAGAAACAACCACTAACCCCATTTCCAAACGGAATTATCAGGCAGAAAATTCCAAAAGTCAAGACCAGAAAGAGCAGCCCTCCAAAAATAAAGGAAAATCCGTCAATCATTTTGGAAGGTTCCTTCAAAGGTGTGAAGTAATTCCTGGACTGTACTCCGTTATTGCTAAATGTGAAATAACTTGAATTTCCTCTCCTTATTAGGCCTACTAAAGATTTTGACAAGGTTTCAATTTAATTTTTAACACATTACGTGATCGTGCTTTGGTGTTTTTGATTGTTAAAAGGTGTTACTACTACCATGGAAACCAGACTTAGTTAACAGATGTTTAAATAAAAATATAAAATTCCGGCTTTGCTCTGGAAGTAATAAGTCTTGCAGTCTGTGGTTAAACTTAAAAACTATTTCAAACTACGTCCATATGTTTAGTTGTAAACATAGGGAATTGAGTTTGATGGTTTGATCTAATGTCAACAGATAGCGCCACCATTTCCAAACTTTAGCCCTTAACTGTACTTAAGTGATGCTTCTTAATATCCCGAGACGTATTTGCACATCTACGTGAAAATATCTTTAATTTGACACCTCAAACATTAAAATCCGCCAAGCCGTTATCGAGTTATGACTGTGAAAAGAAAACTGCTTGCGTATTAATTTATAGATTATTTTATTACAAGTTTTAGTTTTGTTCGATTTCGAGCAACGGGTTATCTAGTGATTGATAAAACTTTCAACACAAATCAAACAACTATCATATAATGATCTATTTTTTACAGACATGCCGAGGTAAAGACATTACTCTACACGTGTCAGCTTCCAACAGTTCAGCACTACTACTCTACCAACAGTTTGCCTTCAAACCAGAGGAGTTTATACAGAATTTCTATGACAAGTTTATACCAGCTAATTCAAGAGAATGTCGACATGCATTTTTTCTCCGACTCCCCAAATAGTTATAGAGTAAAAGTATTATTAATATTGCTATTATATTAACTTTTTGGAGAGGCCTCTCAACACACAAAGATTCAGTAGTTCAACTGAACTTTACATTTTTAGCGAATTTCCCATATAGGGAACTAGCAGAGTACCCGTCCTTCGTACGGGGTTGGCATATAAGTATAAAATGCTTATTATTGCAGTCATACCAAACTAAAGCTTTGCGTTTGCAATGGGGGAGGACACATTTTGATAAAATTTGCTTCTTTAAATTTACGGTATACTATAGACACATCTACCATAGCCATACCACCATAGCCATGTTCCACCACTTCACCTAAACAATACAGAAAAATAAATTATAAAAAATTTACAAAATATATACAATTATTCATGAAATTAAAAACATAAACATAACTGTAAACAATCCTACTTTGACAGTTCTCATTGCATATCACACTTTTTTGTTGCTGCTGAGTTAAAATTAGCTGTTTTCATAAATGCAAAAAAATAGTGCTACACCCTGCTGGTAAATCTTATAACTTTTAATGCTTTTGCATATCATAGAACCAAAATTTTTGGTTGAAACAGCTGACTAAATTCTTTAATTACCTTTAAATATGAATACTCATAAGGTTAACATGGGGAACAACAGAGCCACTGGGGCAGAGCCCGAAAGGATTTTTAAGATAAGAATATGCCTATATGTTAATCGGGAATGTGAGCTATCATCATGCCAAATTTCAGCCCAATCCACCCAGTAGTTTATGCGTGATTGAACTTCAAACAAACAGACAAAAAAACACACATACTTTCACATTTATAATATTAGTAAGATAAGCTATTACCGTAGTACTCATGGTAAGACCTGGACCTGGGACCGATTTGATTTTTCATTTTGAGGTCCCTAGAGGCCAAAAACACCATCCGTTCAAATTCATATATATATATATACAGGGTGAATAAAAAGTCAAGACCCCCCCATCTAATATTTTCCCAAGTAAATATACAGAGATATCCTTTTGGTGGTCGAGCAATCTTAGCAGGAAGTTTCATTTTATCATTTTGAAATTTTTGAGTGTCCCCCCAAAAGGGGGGATTTGGGGGGCAACTCAAAAATTTCAAAATGATAAAATGAAACTTCCTGCTAAGATTGCTCGACCACCAAAAGGATATCTCTGTATATTTACTTGGAAAAATATTAGATGGGGGGGTCTTGACTTTTTATTCACCCTGTATATTCTTGAGGAGATCGTGATAGAGTTTATGATGAATGAAACATGAAACATTGCAAATTTTCGTTTAATACAAACGTTTTCAAGCAAAGAGAAATTAATGAAAAATGTAAAGATGAACAAAACAAATAAATATAAACTGTTTACAAATAGTTGAATTTTGAGAACATATGATTGAGTACAGATCAAAGATATATATATATATATGTGTGTGTGTGTCCATTAGCGCGATAACTCGAGCAAAAATGATCCGATTTTGATTAAATTTGGTACAAACGTGTAAACCTACGTTTATTCGAACGTGTTTGCGATCCAGCATAATCGGACCATGGGAACGGGGGTTTATGGGGGTTTTTATGAGGTAAAAATAAAAACGAAAAAGTTTGCAATTTCTTTTTCAACCGTTTTGTAGAGCTTAAAAAAAGAAATAATTTAGTATATTGAAGCGCTGTTGTATGCCTAACGGTCACGGAGAAAATTAAAAAATAGTGTAATTTAAAATTCCCATGTTATTCTTATGGAGAAAATGAAAATTGTTGTAGTTTACATGTTTATGGATATATATTATATATTGATAAAATTTGGCAAATTTATTTATTTCATCCTATAGGCTACCCTTGACGTATGGTCAAAAAACTTTACCTTCCCCGTAGCAGCAAACCTAAGCACTCCTTAAATCTAATAGGGAATAAATGTCTTATTTATGGAAATATTTTAGTAAAAATGTAATCAGACAAGTTGAAATTCGCTTAGTCTGCAGGTTTGCTGCGGCAGGGGTATTTTGTAGAATAGCTTTGCATCAGTCAAGTTCTACATTATGAGTCAAGCTTTTGACAAGCAATCTTATTCTATTTTGTTAGATAAGCTGAGCTAAGTGCGATCAGTGACATTGTCAAGGAAGTAGAAGTGTCATATTTTGTCGCCATTTTGTGACATGTCACACCTTCCAAATGTCTCTGAGATATGTAAATAGAGAAGGAGTGGTGAATGAAAGGTTTCTAGGATTTTCTTACATGAGCTCTGATTAAACGTCTGAGGGTTTTCCTTCAACATGTAAATCACATCCTAATAGCTTATCCAAACCTTAGCTTAGGTTACCCAAACCTATGATAGAACAAGTAATGTACTATCTGGCCAATTATAAGGCTCCAGTTAAGTCAAGAAAAATATCCTATGGCTCTGGTCACCAGGGTTATCACCCGTCTTGATTCTGTCAGGACAGTCTTGACTTCGGACCCTTATGCCAGGGTTTATGCCTATGTTAATCTGGGTGGGGAGGGGGGAGCCGTCCCGATTTTTCCTTAACCAAAGGTGGACTAATTCATGTACTAAACTTGGTACTATTTTAAGGAATTAAATTTTGGAATGTACCTAACGTACTTGGGAAGAGGTTTTTAATATTGCATCATCAAATTTTAAAAAGATGGTTCTCAGAAAACATTTTAACAATGAATGACAGTAAAACAAAATGCTCGCCTATCGCACTTCGTCCCGCTAGCGAGCCGCCCGCCGAACTCAGACTAACCTTGCACTCATGTGGCACCGCAGGCAGCGATTGCAACTGCCAAATTATTGAAACTGTGTCGCAGTATAAATACCTGGGCATTATAATGGATTCTAAATTGAAATGGGAAAGCCATATAATTTTTTTTTTTATCAACGCTGCTTAGAAAAATGATTTATGTTTTTGATCAATTGGGTCAAATTTTACGACATGAAGAAATTAAAAGAATTTACTACGCATACGTTCAATCTCATCTGCAGTATGGTTTAATAGCTTGGGGAGGGGCTTATTCGTCGGTAATTGAACCTCTGTACGTAATTCAAAAATCAATAATTAGAGCTGCGTTAAGAAAACAAAGACGTTATTCTACTGATCATCTGTTCAAAGAATCTCAGCTTTTATCAATAAGGCAGCTATATGTTAAATATTTATTAGCTTATTCATACATTCATTTAGAACTTATCGCCTCGCCCGTAGTTCATAACTATCATACGAGAAACTCAGTGATGATAGGATTACGGGTCCCAAGAGTTCTCAAATCAATCAATTTAACCAATTCCTTTTACATTGCTAATTGCTTGTTGCTTGTTTGCTTGTAATATTCCTCCAGAAATTAGGGACCTACGAGTGTCACTGAGTACATAGGCCTGTAAGAGGGTTGTCGCTAATTGGCTGATGGAGATAGGCCTTGACAATACAGAGTTGCTCATCAGCCCAGAATATCTCGTTTAGACCAAACCAACTAATAACTGGACTATCTATTGTAAGTACTGTACCTTTCATAGCACTCTTACTCTGTTCATCAGATGTAATGCAAGCAATGAGTTCCCCAAGCTATGGAGTTGCACATTGTATATGGTTGTTAGGATTTTAATGTTTGAAATCTGTTATGTATAATTTTTGATTCTTGTATAGTTCCTATGAATTGTATATTTCTATGATATGTGATATTACCCTTAGGCCTAATTATTAGTATAGAGACTTGGCATTTCTGCTGTAAATTTGACTTTGTTAATGCTTATGTAGCCTGAAAGACAATAAACATATTCTTATTCTTATTCTTAGGTTATTATAATTTTAATTGTATAGTAAATCAATTTGTATGCTTATTTTACCAAGTTATTGTTAGATTTTTTATGTGTAGTGAAGTGTGAAGAACTTTTATTTTGATGAAGCAGCCAGTTAAGGACTCTATCACGCACAGGTCATTGTGACCCATGTGATATTTTTATTTTTGAATGTATTGCTGCAAAATAATTTGTATAAATAAAGAATTTCTCTCTCTCTCTCTTAACATACTATTTTCAACATTAGGCCTAAATGGAATTTCAACGTATGCAAAGTGAAAATAGGATAGTTTGACTTGCTTGAATGGAATTAGACTTCAAAAGTCAAATAGAAACCAACAGAAAAGGCCTTATGCTGACTGCAAAGACAGTTTAGCAAATTGACAAAATCAATTACCAGGGATTAGTAGGTACTATATGTGAGCAAACAAGTTTTAACTTGGTACTGTATGGGCAAAACTGTATTTCAGTTGGGGCCTCATTCCCTGTTAGTAATAAAATGAAATCGCAGCATAATCGTCTAGACCTCTTGTCCCTTAAGAACGATACAGAAAACTGTACTTTGAAATAGTTGTACTATCTTTTAACATCCTCAGAAATATTTAAGTTTTTTGAACTCATAAACCCCATAAAATTTTAGAAGTCCCATAGGCTTTTAAAAAATTATTAATTTTTCTGATAGTATGCTATCCAAGTTGCAACCATTGTATCCAAATATCTTTGACTTTCAAGATCTTACATATGAATAGTGCCTTCTACAAACAAATACTTTCAAAGATAAAAACCCCCACAAGTGTTAAGCATTTTTAAAAGAAGACAATTTAGAACGATATTGAAGTGAAGTGTTTGGTTGGCAAGCTAATCTTAACGATTGTGGTGATCATTAAAAACAAGCTTTTCTGCTCTCAAACGAGTTCTTACCTACAATAGATCCACACAAAATGAAGAATGGACGAGTACCCTCTTATCTGCCGTCAATAGAGAAAGAAGTATTAGAGGAGATCAAGGTTTAGAGGATATCTAAAACAGCATCATCCAGCAGTATGCGACAAAAACACCAGGAATGGGATTTTTATAAACAAGAAGCATACATGCAAGAATAGGTCTATTAAAATAATCTTTATATACCTAATGTTTTTAAACAGTCTGCAAGTCATTAGTCAATACTAAATTTATTTGAGACAGAAAAAGCCACAAAAGCCTAGAGGAAAGACCTTTTCCAGGGAAATCTGGAACAACCAATGGGTTATAAATTCTAAAAAAGTACACTGAGCTAGTTTAGCCTATATAAGGTAGATTGCAAAAGGTAATGTAGAATAAGCTACATCCAATAAAAAATTGAAAACGCTACAGCTAAGACTGACTTTTTTCATCGTAGCAATGATCCTCATCCCCTTCACTATCATAACAATTAATTAAAAATATTAGGGTCATTAAAGGTGTATATGGTCTCCACAGCGTTTATTACAATTATTACACCCTAATGTTGATACAAGAAATGCCTCTTTTTAAAACCCCTGGATTTATTGGTCTGAGCAATATTCAATTTTCCAATGCAATTATTTAAATGTAGAAAGAAAATATTTACTAGTAACTAGATTGCAAGTCTCATTAGCCTACATGTATATTTCTACATAACATCTAGAAAATATGGGTGTGTTGCTTGCTAGGCTAGTGGTTAGCGTCTCGGGATGCAGTGTGAGAGGGACAAGTTCAATTCCCAGCACACACAACTTAACTTAAACAACAACAAAATGTAAAATGTATGCAACAATTATCTAAACCACCATCACTGGACTAGGAATCTCGACCAAAAAGGGATAGTTGACATCTTATCATTACTGAACTTTTTTCTTGTTCCTTACAAACTCATGTTTAGATTTTTTGAAAGCAAGTAGAAATAAAATAAAATCCCAAGACTCATTTAGCGAAAAATCATATTATGTTACATTAAATAGATATGTATAAGGAGTCAAACAGTTAAATGAAACACATTTTAAAATTCAATTAAGACAAAACACATTGTTCTATAAAAAATTTATTTAACAAATTCAACACCGTATTTTATAAATAATTCATGTTAAATAGGCTGTAAGGCCTACTGCTTTTAACAAAAAGTTTATCTCCAATATTTGTATTTTTTGTACAGCTTTGCTACTTAACTTTTTTTAATATTTTAAATCCTTGATTCAATTTTGTAACTTCACCAAGACAAATTCCTGTTTGTGATATGCAAGCCCTGAAAAACAAATTACAGTATTAGGCTTATTAAAGAAAATTTATATTTTAGTTTAGAGGCTTCTAGTGCTCCTTTAGATTAATCATATTGTGGTAGTTTAGACCTCAAACGGGCATCATTAACCATCCTCATCCATATAGAGAGTTGTGTAATAGTTAACCATAGTGTAAAACATAAACAAATGTTCAAGTCATCAATTGCTTATAATCTGTTCGACCACATAACAAGTACAGACATAGGTTGTATAAATAATTTATTTAAATTCAAGAATAATCTATCTATATATTAATAGGCAAGCATGTTTCTTTAAAACCTTTTTTCTCAGCTTGTGTGCATCGTAGGGAAAATCTACGCATACTGTTAGAAAGCTATTTTCCTGTAGGTGTGCAGAATCCCTTTATAAATTAAAATAGGCTCAAAAATAAGCACAAAAAATGAATTTAAAATTTTGAAAAATTTAACATGGATATTATGAGTTGCCATGCTGGTGACGAAATAACAACGAAATATAAACAGAAAATCAAAACAAATGGAAGAAACTCCAATCACATGTTCTATTCAAAGTGTGGAATGAAAATAAAGAAGTCTGTACATTAAATATTTTTGGTCGAGTTTCGACCACTGGACGACCTCTAGTACTAAAAATTACATGAATTAAAAACTATTACTTACTGTGAGAGAGTTGTTTAAGTAATTTTGTGAGGTGGGTACAGAGTAAGCGATTCCTTGAACGACTTTACACAGTAAATGTATTTGTCACTCGTTTCTTGCTTGTGTAGGAAGTTGAGAGTTGTTTTGCTATCATCTTTTCTTGGACCATCACTGTTATCTTCTTCTAATTTTCCTACAACCTGAGTAGACAGCTTTTTACAATTTGAATTTTCAAGGCCAGCAGTTATTTTGAACCATTCAATAACTTCTTCCAGTGTTAGTTTCTCAATCAACTCCCTCTCTTTGTGATGTCTATCGAATATGTACTCCTCTGATTTTATTTCTTGCCAGTTTCTCTTTACTTCTTCTTTCAAATGATTATCCATACATTTTTTTAGCTTGATAAGTGACTCTTGCATTTCTGTGAACTCGTCCATTGGGTAATCTTTGAGCTTTTGAAAAAAATCATGAAGGAATTCTGTTATTCTACCTTCTACAAATTCAGGGCTATTACGATCCGACTGACAGTTCACTGTTAAAGAAAATCCTAAGATACCAAATGTATCTCGCAAGGAACAAGAGACGTCATATCCTAGTTGTTGTTTAGTTCTTAATGCATCAAATATAGGTTCTTCCATCAACATCAACAACATCTCAATTACACATGATTCTTGGATAGATCCTGGGCCTGATTGGTAGTAGTTGGTTACAATGGAATTAGAGTCACCAATATTGAATGACTTAACAACACAAAATTTCTCACCGATAGGTAACTGGTGCACTCTTATCTTAGGTTTGATGTCTGAAGGCAGAGGATTAAATGACAACTCATTCTTCACCAATTCAGCATACTCAATAGCTTCTTCTTTGGATATGTTACCTTGGACAAGGCACTGAACATACATTTGTTGAAAGTACTCTGCCATCAAATCCTTAAATTTTTCAAACGTTAGATCTGATATAGCTACTTCTTTATTAAGAGCTGTCCAATATGTTTCTAATAAAATAGACATCCTGATTTCTCTAGCTAAAAAACCTGTTTTCAAATTGCCATTTGAATAACCTTTAATTTGTTCCATTTTCATAACATCAAAGAGCTTTTCTTTCACATTGTTGGTCAGTGATTTCATACCTCTCAGAATTGCATGTAGTAGTTTCTTTAGCTTTTGGTTGAAGCCATTTATGACAAGAACAATACCTTTTTCCCCAGAGTGAAAACCATATTCTAGCTGAGCAACATTTGCAGGGTACAACTCTTCAACGAGAGATTGCTTCAATAGAGTAATGTATAAATCTAATGCTGCTGCATTTTGAGGTGACACAAAAGCAAACGGTGATACTAATTTCACACAACAAAAGGCATTTGGTAATTTAAACGTAACATCTTGTTTGTACCACACTTCTGAAAGACTGTTTTTGACCAGGGATACAGGGTACTCATCAGGAGTTTGAGGGGTTTCTAAAATTGAAAAATCTGTTGGTATGAAAGTATTTTCTTCAGGAAGGTGAAACTTTTCGGTAGTTTGGATATTCTTCCATTGCTCCAGCCAATCTGCAGGTATTTCTTTGACACAATATTTTGTTCCATACCACTTTTCCTCTTTATCAAGAATTTCATTGGAGGCAGCAATCTTTGATGAAATCATAATATTGACATTGTTTGGTCTTAAATCATTTAAAAAACTTCTTATCGCTACAGCATTATATTCATAAAATAACTCCATACCAGTAATGTAATCTCTTGATTCATAAAAGTGCATATTTTCTGCTAATTGTTCCACATTTTCAGCTGATGAAATCTCTTCTGCAAACCTGAAACTAGTTTCAGCGATAAGCTGCATTTCTTTAAATAATCTTTCTTGAGGCCCTTCTTGTTGAAACATCTTTAAGTACTCAAATACGACACTAAGTATTTCTTTGATGTGCTTAATTCCCTCCTCACTTAGCACCAATGAAATAGTAAATAGCGTATAGAGTGTATTTTCTTCTGTGCCATCTCCACCACTACTCACAGTTATATCAAATCCCCACATTTTCTCTCTTAAAAAAGAAATTAAACTTCCTTTGCCTTCATGACCTATAACCCATGACAGGTAGTTCAAAGGTTTTGTTCTGTACATTTTGAGAGTAGACGGCAAAACCCAAGTGAGGTCTACGTTATTGACGTTTTTAACTGGGTTCACTATATACATTTTGCGGAAATCGTCTTTTCTAAAAGGTGACACATTAAGGTTAAAACGATCAGGAGGTAATTCATTGTTTGGAACATCTTTGAAACATTTAAGAACCCATGATTCCAATGTTTCTAAAGGCAAACGAGCTTGTACTGCTAAAGTCATTCGATGAGCAGAATAATGTCTTTTCCTGAATTCATGTACAGCCTCGTACAGCTCATCATCACTTACATTATCTCTGAGAGTGATAAGATTGCCCCACATAAATTTATGAGATGGGTTGCTTACATCTGCCAAACTACATAACAGTTGAGATTTGCGACTTTCATCAGAAGGGAGGGACATTTGAAACTCAGATTCAATGGCTTCTCTCTCTTTGGTCATAGTGTCTCGTAACATCAATGGAGAAATAAATAACTGAGAGAATATTTCCATTGCTCCACACAAATGAGCTTCATGGCAATCAAAATAAAAAGTTGTGTACTCACATTCGGTTGAGGCATTATCCGATCCGCCTTTCTTTTTAATAAATGTATCAAACTCATTCTCTTTGGGATACTTTTCACTTCCCATAAATATCATGTGTTCTAAAAAATGAGCTAATCCTGGTATCTCTTCGGGATCACTAAAACTCCCAACACCTATGCAAAGTGCACAAGCTGCCAATTTCTGATCACAATTAATAGTTTTTTTCGGCACATCATCCTCATCCTCAGAGACTTCATTTTGTGAACTACTACCACTTTCAGATGATTCGCTGTCAGAAGATTCACTCTCAGAGCTTTCATTTAGTTCATCAAGGTTAATTATTTGAGACTTATCTGATATTAATAAAGCTGTGAGACCATTAGGTAGCTTTATGACAGAATACTCTTTTACATCAGATTGAGACTTATTTGGAGGTTCTAACCTAACGAGGGCATCCTTTATCATAGATATATTAACATCTTCATTTTCAGAAATTGATAATTTATTTACCTTTGAATCATTGCCAAGATTCTTGTCTACTTTAAATCTTTTAGCCATCGTCCTAAATGGAGGTGTATTAAATATCTGCTTTCTTATTTTACAACATCTAACAAACATTTACCCAATACAAAAAACGTAAGTATCAAATAGGCCTAATATCTTAATAAACAGAGGAATATTGGATTTTGTTTATCCATTTTCTGATGAACAGGTCTTGGTGATTGGCCCAAAAAATCTCCATATTTATAACACAGACATAATAATTTTTTAAACAAATCCAAGAATAAAATTGTGCTGTTTGATAAAACTAAAAACAATCACTGTCTCAAATTTTAACCTAAAACTATTCACGTTGACTTTGACGTTAGACCTAGAAAAATTTACATTCCAAACCTAACCTAACAAGAATCACGAAACAGGTGAGGTGACGACTGACGAGTGTTAGACAGGCAAGGGGAAACAAACAGAAAACCCCTTAAATTCAACCGTAAGGTCCCAGTACCAGATGACCGAAGAATAATTCTTCTCAGTGTCTTAGACTGAAATCGTTCAAGAATTTCGATGTTGGATTTGCTTGAGGTTCCCCAAAGTTGAATTCCGTATAAATTAATAATATTTAAATAGGAAATAAATCTGACGATTATAAGGGAATGACTTGGTGGGACTCCAGCCAGGCAAATGGAAATTCGCTTAGTTTGCAGGTTAGCTGCAGTGGCGGTATTACTTGGATAAACGAGGTTTTAAATTACTGAAATAACAATAAACAAATTGTTAGCAAAACACGACCTCTACTTACATTCATGGCCACCTTTAACTCCAGCTCCAGACCGTGGCCTTCGAAGTGGTAACGTCGCAAGTAGTGTTAGTGTTGTAATGGGAACGGAATTTTATGGAGGGATTTATGGTTTTCTCGTTTTTTTACCCTCAAAACTAACTAGCTTGCGTTGTTAGTTTTCTTTTATTGTGACCTTCAAAATGAGGGGTCACTCGATGGGGCTTAACATTTAAAATGTTGGAGTTTCCCCCAAAAACCCCATTTTGGGTTTGGGAACCAAGTGGCTATTAGGCTTAAAAGTACTTCATAACATGCCAAAAAGGTGTGTAGAGTTTAGTTTTCATAGTGTGAGCATAGTTACAAAATTTACAGTGGGTCTCCAGACTTGGAATGCTGTAATTTAAATTTAACTTCTGAGAATTTCAATTGGCTGCCATTTTTTACTGGATTGAGATAGATACCTCTAGTTTGCACTGTTGGTTTTCTTTTACCTCGGTAGGTCTTTGTATTTGAAATTTTTGAGTTTCCCCCCCAAATCCCCCATTTTGGGGATGTACAGCAAGTGGTGGTTATGCCCAAAAAGTACTTCATAACATGCCATAAAGGTGTGTCAAGTTCAGTTTTTCTAGTATGGGTCGTTAAAAAAATAACAGGGGGTCTCCACACTTTTAATTAACCCTGTATATATGTGTGTCCGTTAGCGCGACAACTCGAGCAAAAATTATCCGATTTTAATTGAACGTATACAAACCTACGTTTATTCGAACGAGTTCGCGAACCAGCATAATCGTACCATGGAAACGGGGGTTTATAGGGTAAAAATGGGTTCCCCATTTTTTACCCTAAAAACAAACAAAAACTGCAATTTCTTTTCAAACCGTTTTGTAGAGCTTAAAAAAAAAATAATTTAGTATATTGAAGCGCTCTTGTATGCCTAATGGTCACGGAGAAAATTAAAAAAACAGTGTAATTTAAAATGCCCATGTTATTGTTATGGAGAAAATGAAAATTGTTGTAGTTCACTTGTTTATGGATACATATTGATAAGATTTGGCAAATTTATTTATTTCCTCCTATACTATTGACGTACGTATGGTCAAAAACCATGGTGGAAGACTTTTTACCTTTCCCGTAGCAGCAAACCTAAGCACTCGTTAAATCTAATGTTATTCAAATAGGGAATAAATATGTCTTATTTATGGAAATATTTTAGTAAAAATGTAATCAGACAAGTTGAAATTTGCTTAGTCTGCAGGTTTACTGCGGTGGGGGTATTATAAAATATCAATAACTTAGTATGAAATAAATAAATCCGCCAAGTTTGATCAAAATATATCCATAAACAAAGCCAACTACAAAATTTTACAATATTCTCCCTAAGAATATCAAGGGAAATTGAAACTAACAATTTTTTGAATTTTCGCTGTTACCAATCACCGAAAAAAAAAAACACTTTCATATACTAAATTATTTTTATTTTCAAGCTCTTTAAAAGTTCTGGAGTAAAATTGATAAATTTTGTGTTTTATGGGTAAAAAAATAAGAAAACCCCATTTTTACCCCATATCCCCCCCCTAAGCCCCGTACCCATGGTCCGATCATGCTGGTTCGCACCCATGGTGGAAGACGTAAATACTGGCCTGCCACCTGCCAGTTTGCCAACCTAACCGAACTAACCAAAATAGCTGATAATGAAATAATATAAAAAAAGTTTATTAATAGGAAAATTAATCCTGTTCATTAAATAAAACTAAAAATTGCTCAATTAAAATTTTATAATGAATTAATAAAAATTAAACTGTCATAACCGAACCAAACCAACCAAACTTGCTGATAATGAAAAAATCTTAGTCAAAAAGTTAGTGACACCAACGGGATTCGAACCCGGGACACTCAGCATATCAGCTCGGCCACAGAAAACGTACTACTATAACCTTATATTTGTAAGTTATAGTAGTACGTTTTCTGTGGCTCGGCACGCTAACTTGTAGACCACCGAGGCCGATGGCTGCTATCCGTATTATTACGGTAATGTTGTTCCCTCAGCTAATGAGAAGCCCACAGCTGTCATCGTGAGCTCATCTATACCTCCCCTGAGTAAATACCATAGGTTAGGTTGAGACCAGAGACCAACCGGCTAACCAAATCAAATCGACTAATCGAGTTAACCTAGAACGTGTGTTTGAGTAAGAGATTGTTATTTGTTTATTTTACTTTATTTTGCTGTTTTGTTTTATATTTATTTGCATTTGTTTCGTAGTAACAAGCAACAATAATTACGCACGCAATTACTAACAACTCATCAAAGCGAAAGCACTAGCCAGCCCAAACAAGTTTATTACATGTGGTGTAAGTAAAAGTAGTAAAGTACTTCTTGTTTATTTAATCGGTACCTTACTTTTTTAATCTTTTGCAATTGAGATTTACTAGCATCAAAACCCGGCTTTGCCCGGGTAAAATTATACAATGTACAATAAGTGGTTATAGAATATTTATTTTTTGGCTGCACTTTACTTAAGGTCCTACACTCCTTCGAATGAAAATATCATTGTTTCATGACATATCGTTTGGTAAAGTAAAGTGCAGCCTATTTTTTTCTGCTCTCATTGATGTCCGGTACACATAAGTTATCTTGGTACCGTAGGCTACTATTAAATCTATAAATGTTTAGGTTATTGTTCAATTTCCACAACTCACCTAATATTGTTTAGTACTTTGCCTGACTAAATAAATCATTTTTCATTTCATTTTCATTTTTTCATTGTTCAGTTTCCTTAAAGGTCGATTCACACACATCAGTCCAGTCACAGTTCCGTTACAGTCCAGTTGCAGTCCAGTCACAGTTGCATCCGCAATTTCTCAGTCAATTGTCCGTCAGTTGGTTTCAGTCAGTCTTCCGTCTCTAATATTTACAGTAATTTACAGTCAAAAAAATTAAATTTTAAACCTATATTCTATTAAATTATCATTGTCCATCTTGTTGATAGTTACAAACAGTACTCAAAATGCAAACGCAACCATTTAAATAACAATAACACTATTTTCTAACCTCAAACAGTTCCGTCAGGCGTCCGAACAATCAAAAAGTATCGTTGGAAAGAAATCTGAAATTGACTGACGGATGCCAGCAGAGTGACTGACGAGACTGCAACGGATGAGTGTAGATAGCGCAATAGAAAATCCATCAAAGAATACCTATTTTTGTTAACTGTGACGTGCCTGAAGTGACTTTACTGTGACGTGCCGTAACTGATGTGTGTGAATCGACCTTTAATTGCAACTAAAATATTAACAGATATTAAATTATCCAGCTGATCATAATGTAAACAAATAGCCTATGTTCTTTGTTTTCTTCCTTCACAAGGATAACATGGGAACTTTAAAAGCCACTGGGGCAGAGCCCAAGGGAATTTTTCAAAAATGTAAGGTCAGTTTGAATATCTACACACATACACAAACATTTTGTTATGTAATATGTGAGGTTAAATCTTAAAACAAAAAAACCTTATTGCTTACAAAGTTAAATGTAGGCTAGCTAGCCTATTACAAAGATTTATTTTGAAATTCTGTATTTTTTGTTTTGTTTAACATTCATCACGGGGACATTATTGACCACAACCGCGATCTTGGCAAAATCGTGATTCATGAACATCTCCTGCTATCACGGAGACATGATTATCCCCACTGGCGATCGCCGCTGAATCGTGATTCGTGAACATCTCCTGCTATCACGGAGACATGATTATCCCCACTCACGATCACCGCTGAATCGAGATTCGTGAACATCTCCTGCTATCACGGAGACATGATTATCCCCACTCGCAACCGCCGCTGAATCGAGATTCGTGAACATCTCCTGCTATCACGGAGACATGATTATCCCCACTCGCGATCACCGCTGAATCGAGATTCGTGAACATCTCCTGCTATCACGGAGACATGATTATCCCCACTCGCGATCACCGCTGAATCGAGATTCGTGAACATCTCCTGCTATCACGGAGACATGATTATCCCCACTCGCGATCACCGCTGAATCGAGATTCGTGAACATCTCCTGCTATCACGGAGACATGATTATCCCCACTCGCGATCACCGCTGAATCGAGATTCGTGAACATCTCCTGCTATCACGGAGACATGATTATCCCCACTCGCGATCACCGCTGAATCGAGATTCGTGAACATCTCCTGCTATCACGGAGACATGATTATCCCCACTCGCGATCACCGCTGAATCGAGATTCGTGAACATCTCCTGCTATCACGGAGACATGATTATCCCCACTCGCGATCACCGCTGAATCGAGATTCGTGAACATCTCCTGCTATCACGGAGACATGATTATCCCCACTCGCAACCGCCGCTGAATCGAGATTCGTGAACATCTCCTGCTATCACGGAGACATGATTATCCCCACTCGCAACCGCCGCTGAATCGAGATTCGTGAACATCTCCTGCTATCACGGAGACATGATTATCCCCACTCACGATCACCGCTGAATCGTGATTCGTGAACATCTCCTGCTATCACGGAGACATGATTATCCCCACATGCGACTGCCGCTGAATCGTGATTCGTGAACATCTCCTGCTATCACGGAGACATGATTATCCCCACTCACGATCACCGCTGAATCGTGATTCGTGAACATCTCCTGCTATCACGGAGACATGATTATCCACACTCGCGATCGCCGCTGAATCGTGATTCGTGAACATCTCCTGCTATCACGGAGACATGATTATCCCCACTCACGATCACCGCTGAATCGTGATTCGTGAACATCTCCTGCTATCACGGAGACATGATTATCCACACTCGCGATCGCCGCTGAATCGTGATTCGTGAACATCTCCTGCTATCACGGAGACATGATTATCCCCACTCACGATCGCCGCTGAATCGTGATTCGTGAACATCTCCTGCTATCACGGAGACATGATTATCCCCACTCACGATCACCGCTGAATCGTGATTCGTGAACATCTCCTGCTATCACGGGGACATGATTATCCCCACTCACGATCACCGCTGAATCGAGATTTGTGAACATCTGCTATCACGGAGACATGATTATCCCCACTCGCGATCACCGCTGAATCGAGAATTGTGAACATCTCCTGCTATCATTGGGACATGATTATCCCCACTCGCGATCACCGCTGAATCGTGATTCCTGAACATCTCCTGCTATCACGGGGACATGATTATCCCCACTCGCGATCACCGCTGAATCGTGATTCCTGAACATCTCCTGCTATCACGGGGACATGATTATCCCCAGTCGCGATCACCGCTGAATCGTGATTCCTGAACATCTCCTGCTATCACGGGGACATGATTATCCCCACTCGCGATCACCGCTGAATCAAGAATTGTGAACATCTCCTGCTATCATTGGGACATGATTAACCCCACTCGCGATCGCCGCTGAATCGTGATTTCTGAACATCTCCTGCTATCACGGGGACATGATTATCCCCACTCGCGATCACCGCTGAATCGAGAATTGTGAACATCTCCTGCTATCATTGGGACATGATTATCCCCACTCGCGATCGCCGCTGAATCGTGATTCCTGAACATCTCCTGCTATCACGGGGACATGATTATCCCCACTCGCGATCACCGCTGAATCGAGAATTGTGAACATCTCCTGCTATCATTGGGACATGATTAACCCCACTCGCGATCGCCGCTGAATCGAGATTTGTGAACATCTCCTGCTATCACGGGGACATGATTATCCCCACTCGCGATCGCCGCTGAATCGAGAATTGTGAACATCTCCTGCTATCATTGGGACATGATTATCCCCACTCGCGATCACCGCTGAATCGAGATTTGTGAACATCTCCTGCTATCATTGGGACATGATTATCCCCACTCGCGATCGCCGCTGAATCGAGATTTGTGAACATCTCCTGCTATCACGGAGACATGATTATCCCCACTCGCGATCACCGCTGAATCGAGATTCGTGAACATCTCCTGCTATCACGGAGACATGATTATCCCCACTCGCGATCACCGCTGAATCGAGATTTGTGAACATCTCCTGCTATCACGGGGACATGATTATCCCCACTCGCGATCGCCGCTGAATCGAGATTTGTGAACATCTCCTGCTATCATTGGGACATGATTATCCCCACTCGCGATCACCACTGAATCGAGATTTGTGAACATCTCCTGCTATCATTGGGACATAATTATCCCCACTCGCGATCACCGCTGAATCGAGATTTGTGAACATCTCCTGCTATCATTGGGACATGATTATCCCCACTCGCGATCACCGCTGAATCGAGATTTGTGAACATCTCCTGCTATCATTGGGACATGATTATCCCCACTCGCAATCACCGCTGAATCGTGATTTGTGAACATCTCCTGCTATCATTGGGACATGATTATCCCCACTCGCGATCACCGCTGAATCGAGATTTGTGAACATCTCCTGCTATCATTGGGACATGATTATCCCCACTCGCGATCACCGCTGAATCGAGATTTGTGAACATCTCCTGCTATCATTGGGACATGATTAACCCCACTCGCAATCGCCGCTGAATCGAGATTTGTGAACATCTCCTGCTATCATTGGGACATGATTATCCCCACATGCGACCGCCGCTGAATCGTGATTCCTGAACATCTCCTGCGATAATGAGTAAATATGAGTAACTTCTCTCACGGCCTCGTTTACCAAATGTTAACCAATAAACAAAAACCGACATTTTTTAACAATCTTTAATGTGGTTTTGTAAATAAAAAATCAGTGAACTGACACCCAACCTTAAAAATAGGGCTATTTTGAACCCATATAAATGTTTTAAATCACTAATTTGTTGATTTATGGAAAAAGTAAAAATGTAAGTGCGCCCCTTACTCAACGAATCTCTCTGCTAATAATGATCGTTTATTAACGTTGACAATTTCTGATAGAAATAAAAGCAATTTAAGAAAAATATACATTTAAAAAATATATAGGTGTCAGCAAAAATCAGAGAGGGCATCAGGGGTAGGATGGCGCGTGTGGCGGCTCTCCACTGTATACAAGCCTATAAATACAAAAACTTCTTTGACCTTAAGCAGTCATGTTTGCCGCTCCCATCCCTGACCCCGTCATATAAACCACGATCACATAAATATTTTCTTAAAAGCCCTTTCATTGTATTGGTTAGATAACTTAAGTAAGATAACTAGACAACTTATGCAAAATAAACTTTTCTATATAGTAAGAAATATTAACGATTTTGCCGCCCCCCCAAACTCGCTGCCCGGGGCAGTGTATATTGTAATAGGCTACTGACTTGGCTTTATTTACAAAATGTTTAAGTACCGTACATTAGTTAAAATACAATAACTTAGAACATTACCAGTTCTGTTATTTATTTTTATATTTTTTGGATTTATGATAAAAGTTGTAAATTTATGATGTCCCATTGTGAATTTTGAAGCTAATTTTTCGTGTCTATTTCATGTCTGGTGTAACTGGGCGTTAGTGTCGACTAAATTTTATTGTTTTTTTTATTATTTTAGGGTTAATTTAATGATTTGTGCTTTACTGTTTGTTCGAGTGGGTACGAGTTATTGTTCATGATTATATAGTTTTATTTGGTTAAACGAGGTTTTAAATGACTGAAATAACAAGAAATAAATTGTAAAAAAAACACGACCTCTACAGTGCACCGGACAGAACTAACAAGAAAACTTGGCTTCAGCTCTTCCATAAGGATGAGAAATCTACTAAAGGGAGTGTGTTTTATCTACGGATGTATGTATTGTCATATAAAATTACGTCAATGGGAAGTTAATTAAAACAAAAATTGGTTAATTGTGAACTACCAACCTATTTTTACTACTTTAAACGTTATTGTTTTAGGTCTTTGGATTTGGAATCCCTTTTTATATGCAACATTGAGTTATACCATGTGAATGATATCACTTCTTCAAAGAATTCTACAAACAATTATTAACGAAAATATTAGGCCTAGAGTGATGTCATCCCAAGAAATAAAGTCAAATTATTCTTTTAGAGGCAGAAAAAAAATACAAAAAGACTCACTTAATGAGAAAATAGAAAATAAAAGAGTAGTCAGGAAATCTAAAGTAAACACCAATGATACAAATTTGACAATCAAACAAGAAATAGACATCAACACTGTTTGTCACGGTAATATTGGAACCGAGCAACAAAAGAGTGCAATAGAAGGTGTCGAAATTAAAAAAGAACCTGGTATTGATGTTGTGAAATGTGAAAAAACTGAGGGTGAAGCCAATGAAATTGTAGATTTAAAAAAACTCAAATGGGAGCCTCCTTACTGGACAGTGGTTCTGGAGAACATTCGAGAAATGAGAAGAGGAGTTAGAGCCCCAGTAGATGACATGGGCTGTGACCAATGTCAGGACGACGAGGCTTCTCCAGAGGTATTTTTTATATTAAATACCCTACCTTCACTATCAAATATCGGCATACAGTTTTTTTTTTTTTAAATAGTTTGAGTGTAGTTTGGGCATGGATGTGCACTAATTATTTCTTGTACTAACATATTTGCATAGATTATTTAGCACATTGACTTTTGTGCTATATGTGTGAATTGAAAACAATTAATTGTAATATTCTTTGCACAGGCCTTTGAACTCTATCTGGACTGACAACTGGCAAAATCCAGGTTAAAAGAGGCTACCCTCCTTCGTTTGCAGAAACAAAACAAAAAATCATCTACATGTGTCAATCAAACTTTGACAATTTTCTATTTGACTGCTTCTTTTTGTTATTTAACTGTGTCTTTGGATTATTTGCAAAATACTAAATAGCCTCCATAATAGAATTAGTAGCGCTAGAAAATTTTTTGTAAAAAAGAAAAAAAAATTTAAATTTTGTTTGTTATTTTTTGTAAATTGGACCTCGCCGACAAGTTTTGTAAACTTGGCGCTGAGGCCAAGCTCTTGTATTATCATAGATAAATATATTTGAATCTTCTGTACTTAATCCTGTAATAAATACGTCGCAGGTGCGACGGTTCCACGTGTTGGTATCCCTGATGCTGTCCAGTCAGACAAAGGACGGAGTAACACATGCAGCAATGCAACGTCTACGAGCCCATGGTCTCACTGTCGATCACATACTCGACACTGACGACGACACACTCGGCAAACTCATTTACCCTGTGGGCTTCTGGAAGGTTAGTGAGTTTCAAAAATGATGTTAGATTTGTAAGACGATGGTAACAAAAAAATATTATGACCAATTCAACTTTATTTCATTGTAGGATGTAGGATTATCCTAGTGAATTTACATCCCATATTTAGGACGATACAACAATACTAATTACTACAACGTCTACAAACTATCCAAGCTATTTTGTAACCCATTTTCGGGTATTAGGTTAGAATATTTAGGTTGAGGGCCAAAATAATAAATCTGGTTGTGTGGGAATTTTATCCTTAAGTAAGACGAATTCCAGGGGTCAAGTCAAATTTTGAAATTTGAGATCAAATTCTTTAGAGGGAGGAACTAGTTTCCGTTATGTAAACAAGGATTTCTGTTATGAAAATGAATTTAGTTAGCTATATCCTGTATGTGTTACTTTGCACTTTCATTAAAAATTTGCAATATTACAAATAAATAATAAATTTAAATAAACAATTTAAATAGATGAGGGTTCGAATATTTATCAAATTCAGTAATAATATAAAAACGTTTAAAATCAAACTAATTGTGTAACTTGACAAAAAAACATGTTACAAACGGCCTAAGCCCTAATTATTTTTCCAAACTGGCATAAAGTGCTCAATTTAAAAACAAAATCTGAAATTAAAGCAAAGATAAAAGGAAGAGACAACACTTTGTATGTTTCAAGTTCAAGATAAATTTCCGCTTAAAACGATTTTTCTAAAATGGAATGCCTTTTGCAATAAAAAACTGATAGCCTATGTTTTTGCTTTGTTTTAGAGTAAAGTGAAGTATATTAAAGCGACTGCACAAATCCTAAAGGAAGAATACAAAGGAGATATTCCGGACACTGTGGAGAAGCTGTGCAAACTGCCAGGCGTCGGCCCCAAGATGGCACATCTGTGTATGAATGTAGGGTGGGGCATTGTCTCTGGCATAGGTGGGTGAATCAGTTTAAGTTGTTATGAATTCTAAAATTTACATCTTATATTATAATGAATATTCCTTATTTGTTTAAAATCAGTACACATAATTTACATCAGCACACTCTGTGGCTCAGCTCAACTGAGGTCATTCTAATTCTAAACCAGCTACCGGTACATCTCTAACATTGGAAGAGAATGTTAAGCTCTATGCCTAGTCACAGCTAATACTTATCGAAAAGTTCTCTCATTATGACACTGCCACTTCTTGAACATATAAAAGTAAAATCAAATAACTATTTGAATATACCAATGCTCTAAAGAAGTCCCAATGCAACAATAGGCCCATCTGGAAAATGGAAGTAATTTTTCTTTGTGCAGGGTTGCCACCAGCCATGAAAACCTTGAAAAGCGTGAATTATGCGTGAATTTAGGTGACCATGAAAAAGTGCGTGAATTATGCGTGAATTTCGTCATTGGACCATGAATTCTCAAAATCATTATTAACAATTCAGCCAAAACCCCTAAATGTGCTGAATCAAATACTCCGTATTAAAACCATTCTCGAAATGAACACCGAGATAAAACGTCAAAGTGGGAGTGTCGAGATAAAAAGTTTTGTTGCCATGGCACGAACAGAAACGATTGCGTAGTTTATTCAAGGTCAAATCCGATCGCAACCGACGTCAGCCGAGTAGTCTAGAGATGGGAATTATCGTTGTTTTCCGGCAACGGTTATAACGATAACGCAGCTGCCCAATAACGTATTGCGGCAACCTGTTATTTCAATAACGATTGCCAGCTCGTTGCCGCTATAAACCGTTGTCCGCCGGTCGGTGTTGCTGTTGCGGCGTTCAGTTATCATTGTCGGTTGATCAGTTCAGTTTTCAGTTGTAATCGGGAGTCGGGCGTTGCCGCGTTGTCCAGACAGGATGCGTTATTCTAGTTCGTTTCAGAAGTTATCGTTGCTCTGGTCTGGTAGCGTTGCGGCAACGGCACTAATGGCAATGCATGTTTTCGTTTTCGTTGTCGCGCGGCTTTCCTGCAACATTGTGTAGATAGATACGTTATTATAATAACAGGGAGTTCTCTGCAACGTGTTGCCGCGATAACGTTGCCGTGGCCGCAACACTGTTATTCGTCCTGTTATTCCTGTTATGTTATAACGCCCATCTCTACCACCGAGTTATTGTCTGTGCGAGTACCGATCTACCGATAAAATCGATGCTTTCGGAGCTAAAACATCGATCACATCGATGTTTGTTCCGAGTTTCTCGTCTGTTGTCTGTTCTCTGCACTGTAACAGCCAATTAACCTAAAACCAATACAATTCAGTTACGGAAAACATCAATATTTCATATTTCATTACTTTTGTTGGCCTAAAAGACCGATGTAACAAACCAAATCATCGGTTCGGTAATCTACCATCGATGTAAACAAATAACTTCGAACATCGATAGAAAAGACATCGATGTTTCGAAAACATCGACAATCGGAATTGATGCTCGCTCTCATTCTCTACTCTCTACTGCTACTCTAGTGTAGTGATGGGAGAATCGAATACTTTAAAGAATCGAATACAGTGAATTCGTAGCCTCCCCTGTATTCGAATACTTTTACGAATACTTGTATTCGAACACCTTTGAGTATGCAAAGCATGGAAAATGAGTGTGTAATTCTTTTTTCATAATGCAACCGTTCTTTTGGCCACTGTTATTTCGTTTTACAGTAATTAATTCATTAATATAATTTATTCAATGTAATTTTAAATTATATGATTTTTAAAAGGTACATTTATTTTGACTTATAATTATTTCATGGTCAGTTACAGTCTTATTAGTGTATTATTTTCTATTATATTAACTAATTAATATCTTTTATAATATGTCTTATTCATTTGTATGGATAATTTACATCAGATATGCATGTTATTTTGCCATGTAACTATATAAATCGGTTGTAGTTATAATAAATTCTATTTAATTGCCCTCTACCAGTAGTAACCTAATATTTTAAATAACCAATATATTCTAAATGTTAACGATTAATATGTAAATTATAGGGCTAATGGTAAAATTATAACGAATAGATGAAAACAAATGCTGCAGTAAAAACATTAAATACTCTTAGGAATGCTACGGATTCGTAAGATATTCAAAAGGGAATTCAGTAGTTGAAAACGTGTTGAATACATTTTTGAATCCACCGAATTCGCTTTCTAGATTCAAGAAATCCTGCAAAATCTGAGGTCAAGACTCAAGAGTATTCACAAAAAAGTATTCGTACGAATCTGAAGTATTCGAATCTACGAATACTCGGGCTGTATTCGAATACTATTCGATTCTGTATTCGATTCTCCCATCACTACTCTAGTGTCTCTAGTGTTCGTGTGGAAGGAAATACAGAGTAACCATAACCTAAAAGTTTTAAACTGATCTGAAACTTAGAAACGAGTCAAACGTTTGAAGTTTGAAGTAGTGGTGGACACTGGACAGTAAGATCACTTGTTGCACTCGTGATTCAGTTTTGTGCTTCTTATAATTGATTACCCAACACTCAGTGGAACAAGTGTTCAGATTAAATATTTTTTATTACTGATATATTATACTTCCGATACTTTACAACGTTAAAATAAGAAGTACCTTGCCTTGCCATAAAGGTCAAAATGGCTTGCGCCGGCTGGAACTTAATCGTCTTCTGTGTTTGTTTTGGTCAAATATGTCGTCATTTCAAACTACTGTCAGTGTTGAGTAAATGTGTTACAACGTGAGATTAAGTTTATTTATTTAGGCCTAAGTTGCAAGAAGTCAATGTTGTGCTGAAAAATGGTGATTTCGTTCTGAGGAAGGTAAATGTAAATGTTTTGTTGAAGCATATAACTAGGTGTTTTCAGTCAATACGAATCTAACTAAGTTTTTAATGAGTTGTAAATTTAATTAAATAATTGTTTTAACTGTGATTTAAACCTGTGTAGGCAAATAATAATATATAAACTGATCCAATCTGAAGAAACATCCTCCTAACTAAGTTTATTTTAACCTTTTCTGTAATGTAATTAATTTTTTTTTTTATTACTTAATGTAAGTTAGCCTATGTCTAAACTTACATACATTCCATTACTTTTGTTTCGTTCTTAGCATTAACTAAATATTTATTTACATAATCTTACCTTTTTAGAGTGTTTTTATCAGTCAGTCGGTAACCTTTAATCTTCTCAATAAATAGAAGTTGGTTCAGGCCTAACTTAGCCAAGATTCAGTTTTGGATTACAATGTAGTCTAGCCTACTGTGTTACAGTATAAAGTAATAAATTGCATGTGCGTTTTAGTAGGCCTAGATATGGCCCATTCATTACCAAGTTAACCGTCTTCTTGATCATGTTCTTAACATTTGTTTTTATAGTAGCCTATTATCTTAATTTGATGTTTAGACAGTAAAGTTCTAGGCCATTGCTGGATTAACTAAGTTAAACCTTTTATGTTTGGATGCAATGTTTTTTAGGTTAGGCCAAACCTAACTACCAATCCGACTAATTTTTTAATTTACTATTTCGTCTAACGTTTGAATTTATCATTAGGCCTATGATGTTGTTAAATCAGATGTTTCAATTTTTTTTTAATAATTACATCTTATTATCACACACAAGATTTTTATTAATCCTTTTTCATCTGTGATTTTACTTTTTTAGACTGGATAAATTATATTAAATTCTTATTTTTAACTCTAAAATAAACGCATTAAATGTGTTTTATTTGATAGTAGCACACAAAACTATATATTGTCGATAAATTAATGTACAATTCTGAACTAGGCAACACTCTTTTATGGTGAAATTGTGCGAGCATATACCCCATGAATTTTTCAAAACTACCAATGAAAACCTTGAATTATGCATGAATTTTTTTATCTAACTTTGGTGGCAACCCTGTTGTGAATTCTTTACATTTTTCTTTCACTATGTATAAAGTTAATAAAAGTAATAACAAATTAGAGAAAACTGTAAGCCTCATACCTCTCATTCGCATACAGTACTTGAATGAATTAAATATCCGGAGGTAAAAGTTAAATTTTTAATAATTTTTCATAGATTTTTTTACACCCAGAGCCACCAGTTAGCTGCTGCGGAGCCCATTACAAACTGTCAGAGCTGGGCCTTTACTAGTATTTATAAACACAGTTGAGTTAAAATAATTTATCACTTAAATGTTGTCGATAATAATAGCTTAGTGTTCTGTACAGGTGTGGACACTCATGTGCATCGCATATCTAACCGGCTTGGTTGGGTCCGCAACACCAAAACACCAGAGAAAACCAGAAAAGAACTGGAGGACTGGCTGCCTCAAGAGCTGTGGAGTGAAGTCAACCATCTTTTGGTTAGTGGTTTTACTATCAACTTAAGAAGAAAAAATTATCTGAGTCTGGTTTACATAAGTAGAGTATCGGTTATTTGACGTTCTGTTTTATCGTTATCAGACAACCTTTGGACAATCAAGTGTCGTGAAATCATGTGCTATTTCCATGTAGCATAACAGTACCGTACGTAATATTGAGATAAATGTTGTCGTCTTTCAATGTATTAAGGAGATAAACCACAGTAAAACTTCTATTATTTTAATTTTGAAACCTGAGTTTATTATAATAAACTTTGTCTATTAGACACAGTAACAATAAACTTAAATTTATGATATAAATAATAAGTAACTTAGATTAATGTCGTCCATCCATATAAATGATTTTGGTTGATTTTACATGATCTTTTTAACACTTTTATGACTATTTCATTTTATAATTTTGATGGAAGATTTTTTTTTTATTTGTCAAACAATTTGTTAATAGTCCCTCTGCATCAATACTGCAGAATTCGGGGAACAGAAAAATTTAAAGAGCCTTCAAGCAAAGGCAAATACCAAAAATAATGTTAACACTTTGAGTGCGGCCTAAGTTATTAAAAGTAGTGCGGGACTGGCGCACACAGCGGACTACGTAGCATTCCTAACTCTGAGGTATTGCTTCAGTTTGAGCTCTGCCTCGCAAGGGAACGTTGTGTCACTTGCCGCTAGTTGTGCCAGTTTTATACTTCAATCCGTTATAATTTGGTTTCAGATCTGACAATTTCATTTGCTGGTGGGGACTGTTCCAAATTTAGTGTAGTGTGGGATTTTGACTTGGATTTAGTGAAATTTAATAGATTAACGATAATTATTACTGTAGTGTAACATTGTGGATGGAACCTAACCTCTAAATTGTGCTTGACGCCATTTATATTTTTTTTATTGCGTATCCGGGTTTTTTGGCCCGGAGTAGAAAGTGAGTCATTAAATATTTGAGGCCATGTTTGAATGGTCGAGAATATGTATAGACCCACTTTCACTCTTTTTTTGAACGTTACTTTTCGCTACACTACTAAGAAGAATTATTTTCTTCATTACAAAACTCGTAGCGTTTTTTAGGTTATGTTTTCAATTTAAAGTTAAAATATTTACTTTAGTTTTGAACATTGAAACAGTTGATAAAACATTAACAAATATTTGTTTGTTTTTGTCGGCAACATCCAAAAAAGATAGTAAACATTCTTTTTCCGTAGTAAAGAATGTAATTATGGATATTCGCAGGTGATAAACATGCAAAGAAAACAGGACATTTCACAGTAGTGATTTAAAAGTAATTTAAATGTCAGAATCAGGAATCAGCATGTTGATAATAGATAATAGCCTACACCTGCAGGTCTTTTGTCAGTTTTATTTTATTTTATCTTAATTTAACCTATATTTTCTATAGGCTGTGTGTCAGACATTTATTTTTTATTTTACAGGTTGGGTTTGGACAAACAATCTGTCGACCTGTGGGTCCCCAATGTGGCAGTTGCCTGAACAAGGATTTGTGTCCATTCGGAAAACAACCTGTCAAAAGTCCAAGGAAAATTAAGGAAAAAACGTAAAATGATGATCATGTTATTGTTTGCATATTGAACTCGATGAACAAATTGTTAATTGTATTCAAGGAGAATTGTTGTTTTACAATACGAGTAATGTCTCTTGTGATATGTTCAGGGATTAGTGTAAGTGTTACATTAGTTACTTAATTGTTTGTTTTTTTATTAAAAAAAAAAATGAGTGAAAAACAGATACATTCACATTGATATTCAAAGTTTGATATTATATGCTAAACCAATCTTATAAAAAGTTAAATTACTTTAATTTTTAATTACAAACAACTTTTTTATGATAAACAAATGTAGTTGGTTAATATTGTTATTGTCTTTAGTTGGTATTTTTTAAATATATGATTACAAATGTGTGTTAAAGTTAAAATACCATTTAAATAGGTAGAGAACTTAAATTATACTCAAGTGCTACCTGATATCAGTATACTTTTTGTAAATATGTGTTTAAGGCTTTATTTTACATTTGATTGTTATTTTTATTTCTTATTCTATATACAGTATTTTTTTCTAAATAAAGTAATTGTTTAAATATTTATTTTTGATTATTTTTAGATCCTAGCATTGAGTATACATGTATAAGAGGGGACAGATAATGCTAATAGTTGTTGCTGATTTTGGCGACGTAGCTTGGGCCTGTAACGCTTGAATCAAAGTTGTAGGTCGGTAGTGCAGAACATCTCTGGGCTGAGCTTCTTTGAATCATTTTATATTAAAAACAAAATCACATTATAAAATAACAAAATTTCGATCCAACAAACAAATTAAAAAAAAAACAACATTTTACAACTTACAATAAGTGTAATATTAAAAAACAATTAAACTGACTCACCAATGAGGTGGCGTTGTTTGGGTCACTGCTACAGCGCTGTTCAAGTAACTTTCTACTCTAGTGTGTGTATACTCAATGATCCTAGTCAACATATTTTGCTAAAGCATTAAGCCACCAGAAGAACCGATGGACTTCACATTTGTGCAAAATTGTTGCCAAGAAATCACTGTCCCTGATGGGTTTCATACGAGTAGCACAGGATTTTTTTCCTTAAAAAAAATTACCAACACCATCTCGAGTCATTTTTTGCAGTAAACTCCCTATAACACTGAACTGTGTACAGTGTGTTGCACAAGTGAATAACCAGCTTGCGCATGTTTACAGAAGCAAGTTTAGTTTACGAACATTTCATAAATGAATGGTGAGCACTTTTTCCCGCAGGGGGTTTAGGTGATGGTTTTTCATATCCAACCCTGGTGCTAGGAAAACGTGCTCAACAAATTAAGCCTGACAGCTGTTATGCCATGCTGTACACTAGCCTCTTTAGCTACCGTGCATCTATTTGTTTGTTTGGATCTTCACTCACACAAGGATAGTTGACAACGCATCGGCTGTTTGCTTATGAAGTAACAAAAGCAGGGCTGCCAACTTATGATTTTGTTTTCCCCTAAACATCGTCTCTTTACACAACTTGTAATTTGGGTTGTCTTTTTAAAAACATTCCGTACAAGCAAACATGGGCTTCAATGGCTAGGTTTTGAGAAGGGAAGATTTAGTTTTATTTTGCAATTGAGACAAATTTTGCTTGTGACAGTATGGGTAGGTACCATAGTAGAAGTAGGCTAGGCATCCTATTGAAACGTTCATAACTGAAGATAGACCCTTTAAGACAAGTGATGCTCTTTGCAATGAGGTAGCCATACTGCTAAGTGCTAACCCACTGGCTCAAAAAGTGGCTTGAATCTTACCAGCGAGTGCCAGTGTCACTTGTCTTTATCGTAGCACTAACTTGTTCTGGCCAGTGATGCGCGGTTGGGAGATGTGTAAACAATCTAAATGTTCCTTCTTGAGATGTTCCGCTTATCGATTGCTTTGATTACTTAACGAGAGGTTTGTAAAATCAAAATGTTTCTTTCGATTGTTGCATTCATTAAGCCAAAACGTCCGTCTTCAATTGTCTACTTCTCATTAGCGGATATTACGAGGAAGTTCAAGTTTTTCTCTAGATTTCTTGTAGTTATAGAATAGTATTAAGTACAACATATACTGCTGACATTCGAATAAAAACACTTGCGTAACTCCGTCATGTCTGTTATTTCTGTATATACGGTACAATGTAAATGTGTATGCCGTGTATCAAATAGGGCTGAGGTATTTTTACATGCACGGGGTTTGAAACCTGTGCATGTGCAATCCATATTAGGCTTACTAATGTGTGGCTTAGCCGAAAGGAGAGCCTAACTAAAATCGGGGGGGGGGGGGGAGGGGGGGGGGGTTGACCTCATAAGTGAGTTTAATAGGAATTGCACATAGCACCTGTTTTGTTTCTTTTTAATCTCTAGGGTAGAGGAAGGATATTGATTATCTTTTTTATTCTCTTATTACTACATAAATTTTCTTTATAGGGAAAAGTTATTTATTTTTTGTCCTAGGACGCTAGGCACGAGCCTGGGATTGTTTTTCACATTACTTTCAGGCTAGACCTAGGGGTTCAATCAATCAATCAATCAATCAATAAATCTTTATTCAATACATACAACAAGTGTACATGAATGTGTCATCAACCTAAAACTACTTCACATGATTTCACCTACTTCCCAACTTGCTTAGTCATACAGTTTTTTTTTGTTACAGTGTTCAAAACTTTCTAAACTATAAAATTCGCTATAAATTAAAAACCCCTTAAGTTTATTTTTGAATTTATTTACGCTACTTTCGTTTCTAATACTACTGGGGAGGGAATGCATGAATTTGATTCCAATATAATTAGGACTTTCCTTAAATTTTTCTTTTTTATGTTTTTTAGTTATGAAGTTTAGTTTGTTTCTAGTGTTATAATTATGTACGTCTTTCTGTCTTTGAAGTTCTGATTCATGATTTTTAACATACATTATCGTCTTATAAATATAGAGACTGAAAACGGTAAAGAACTCTAATTCTTTAAAATGATTTTTACAGGATTCGTTTATATCGAGATTAAGGATACACCTAATGGCTTCTTTTTGTAAATGTAAAATTTTGTTTAAATTGAATTTACTTGTTCCTCCATAAATTTCTATACCGTAAGAAATATGTGAGTGAATAGTAGCAAAGTAAACCTTTCTTAAGATTTCTCTGTTGCATAATGGATATAAGCGTCTAATAGCAAAAATACTTGAGCTGATTTTATTACATAAGTTGTCAACATGTGAGGTCCAATTAAGTGTGCTATTTAAGGTGAGGCCTAAAAATTTAGTTTCATAAACAAAATTGTTAAACAGTTCTTTTCTAGATTTTTTAGATTCAAACGCAATGAACGTTGTTTTATTTTCATTTAGTAAAAGATTTTTTTCATTCAAGTAATCTTTAATTATTGTGAGTGAATCATGAGTTTTATTTATAAGAAGCTCCATATTCTTATCATAAATCGACATACTTATGTCATCTGCATACAAGCACAGAGTATTATTTTCTACATGTTCAAATAAATGTTTTGGCATCCCTCCCAAGTAGCACAAGAACAAGAATGGGCCCAACACTGATCCTTGTGGCACTGAGTATTTTACTGTCCTAACCTCAGATTTAATATGGTACATTTTATTCCCACTTAAATGAACAATGTTAACAAACTGTTGGCGTCCCTCCAGATAAGATTCAATCCAGCTTAACTCTTTGCCACCAATTCCATACATTTTAAGTTTATTTAGTAACTTTAAATGGTGCACGCTGTCAAATGCCTTGGACATATCCAAAAAGGCACCAATTACTTTGTTGTCCTCATCCAACTTTTCCAACACATTTTCAATATAAGATATAAGTGCTGTAGTGGTGGATTTGTTTTTTCTATAACCATGCTGCTCTTTATCTAATAAGTTATTAATTTCAAAATAATCCACTAGCTGAAAAAGAAAGCATTTTTCAAATAATTTTGAAAGAGCTGGTTGAATTGCCAATGGTCGATAGTTATTTGGATCTTTTTTGTCTCCTTTTTTATATACCGGGATAATTTTTGAAATTTTCAGCTTATCAGGATAAACACCTGTTATAAGTGAAGTATTAATGACGTGTAAAAGTGGCTTTAATAAAACAGATTTAGATTCTTTTATTATTCTAATCGGAATTTCATCATAACCTGATGACCATTTAGGTTTTAATTGGTCTATTATGGATATTAAAATTGGTTCATCAATTGTTTTGCACTTAAACTTAGTGTTTGAAGCAAAATTTTCAGAACTAGTTTGGGTTTTATTCAGATTTGGTAAAACATTATGTTCCACCATATCAGCAAAATTATTGTTTAATATATTTGAAACAGCATATGGGTCCTCTATTTCGGCACCATTCTGCATTAGTATAACATTATTATGCACCTTATCTTTTTTACTTTTAGTTTCAGAGTTCACAATCTGCCAAACAGTTTTGTTAACATTGGTCGAGTTCCTAATTTTATTGTTAAAATGATTTTTTTTCTTAAGCTTTATAATTTTTTTATATCTTTTTTACGTTCTTTAATACAATTCTTTAACTTAATGTTACTTCTATCATTCCTGTACAATTGGTGCTCTGCAATTAATTGACGGTGCTCATTGATAATTTCATCATCGATCCAGCTGTTATTTACATTACTCGTGACTATTTTAGTTTTTGGAAAATGTAAATCAAAATAATATTTAAGTGTGTTATAGAAGTAAGTAAATTTGTCTTCAACATTACAGTTATAAAGCTTTGTCCAATCCTCCTTGGAGAGATCATGAATGAAGAGTTTAATGTTTTCAGGTTTAAATCTTCTTTCAAATTTATGTATTTTAGAATTTATATTGTTTTTACTTTTTAAATTTAAAATTTTGAAGAGTTGTCCATCATGGTCTGACAAAGCTGTGATTAAACTTTCAACTTTAAAACATTTGTCATCTATGTTGGTGATAAAATTATCAATAGCTGATTCATTATGTTCAGTAACTCTAGTTGGTATTTTAATAGTATATTGAAAACCATGCATTTGTATTATATTCACAAAACTTTTTTTCTTTTTGTCTTCCTTCAAAACATCAATATTAAAATCGCCCCCCAGTAGAATGTTACGGTTAATTTTATTTAAAATTCGCAACAGTTCATTTAATTTGTCTAGATAGATTTCAGCATTATCAGATGGGGTTCTGTAAAGACCCACAACTAAAAATTTTTCTTTCCCAATTTTAATTTCAGTTATACAAGATTCAAATATTTTATCTTGATTAAGTGATGTCAAAGAATTAAATGATACATTTTTGAAATTGATATTTGTTGATACCAGTATTAAAACGCCCCCTCCTCTAAAATCAGTTCTAGCAAACCAGGTAGCCACTTGAAACCCAGGTATTTTGAGTGTCATAATTTCATTTTGGTTTAATTTATGTTCCGTTAAAATAATGATTTGCGGCTTTAGTTCTTCAATAGTAATAATTAATGAATCAATTCTAGTAGCTAAACATTGTATGTTTTGGTGGAAGACAGTTATGCTAGACCGCTTATTTATGTTTGTTAAAACAGTCTTAGTTGCTTTAGAATTAGGCTCAATTACTTC